CCCCGTAAGCGGCTCGACACAGTGAGGACTACACTTGCGGCTCTTGGCTTTGCTCCTTCTACTGCCGACCCGTCGCTGTTTCTGCGCACCGACACCTCTTTGCCGCCGTTCTACATCCTCGTGTACGTCAACGACTTGGTCTTTGCCACTGCTGACACCGCTGGACTCGCCCACGTGAAGTCTGAGCTGCAGAAGAGACACACGTGCATAGACCTGGGTGAAGTGCGCAGCTACCTTGGCTTGCAGATCACCCGGGACAGAGCACAGCGCACCATTACTCTGACTCAGTTACACATGGTGCAGCAGGTCCTTCAGCGCTTCGACTTCACGTACTCCTCGCCTCAGGCCACTCCTCTGTCTACTCGCCACTCGCTCTCAGCTCTGCCTTCGGATGAGTCCGTAGAGCCGAGTGGCCCGTACCCAGAGCTTGTTGGCCGCCTCATGTACCTGATGACCTGCACACGACCTGACCTTGCATACCCTCTTAGCATCTTGGCACGCTATGTTGCTCCTGGGAGACACCGACCAGAGCACATGGCTGCAGCGAAGAGGGTGTTGCGCTACTTGTGCAGTACGTCGGGCATGGGGCTAGTGCTTGGAGGGCGGCGTTCAGTGGTCCTCATCGGTCACGCAGACGCTTCTTGGGCTGACGACCAGGCTACGCAGCGGTCGTCACAGGGTTACACCTTTAGCCTTGGTTCCGGCTCTGTTTCGTGGCGGTCTACCCGCTCGTCTTCTGTTCTCGACTCCAGCTGTGAGGCTGAGATCTACGCGGGGGCCATGGCTGCACAGGAGCTACGCTGGCTCACCTACCTGCTGATTGACCTAGGAGAGCCGCCTCGTTCTCCTCCAGTTCTGTACGTAGACAACAAGGCCATGCTGGCCTTGTGTCGGGAGCACAGAACGAAGCACATTGCTCTGCGCTACTTCCTTGCTCGTGAGCTGCAGCAGCGTGGTCAGCTGCGCCTTGCTTACGTGGCCTCTGAGGCCAACACTGCTGATATCTTTACCAAGGCACTTCCGCCTTGTGATCATCAGCGCTTCCGTACGATGCTAGGTCTTGTGCCTACTTGGCCTCACTTGCTCACTTCTTGACCTTGCTTGTACTGTGATCTTTCTATACCTGCACTTGTTTGTTTACCTTTATATATGATCTTGCATGTGAACTGGCCTTGTGGCCTTGAACTTGTGCTTGGAATGTGTGGTGACGTTGTGATCCACCCTGAGCTTGCTTTGCTTTGCTTGACTGGTCTTGTGACCCCTTGTTCTCCCCCACTTTGCCTATGGGGGTGTGTCAGACTTATATGACTTAGCCTATGTAGGCTATAGTGGGGTAGCACATATGGGGTGCAACACATTTCTAGGGTTTGTACTTGTACCCAACCTTTCCCTTAGTCAATCATTCCTCATTTCTTCACAAGTTGCGCGCCTCGATTGAAGTGGCGAGCAATAGTGACGGCTTTGACGCACGGGGCTTGGATGTAGTCAGGTGTCGATGCAGGCAATTTAATTAGCCCCTCGTACTTGCTGATGCTGCACGATCCCGTTGTCCAGTCGATGATGGGGTTGTGCCGTCGCAGCCTATCACGTCCCGTAGCACGTCGCAGCCATCCAGCGTCGTCGCGAGAAACTTTATGCTGAAGTCGGAATCGTCGCCGCATTCGATCCGCACCGTCCGTGTTTCTTCCAAAATCGCCAGAGGCGTCCCATCCACGAGGCGAGCGTCGATTTCAGGCAGACACCTGTCAAGTTGCAGCTTGCATTTTTTTGCTGTCGCTAAGTTGAAGAGGCTGTGGCTGGCCCCTCCATCGACGAACATTTTCAAGTAATTTTTAAACACTTTGCCAACGACCAGCACAGGGTGATCCACATGGTTATCCCTGTCAGAATGTTATCTTATGCTCTAGCCTGTAGTGGGGTGCTCTATAGCGAGTACAACCCTTCTAGGGTTTCCTATTTGTATCCCCATTCTTGCTAGTGCAGCCCCCTTCTTTCTTCTAAACTTTCACATGGAATCAGAGCTAAACGCTCCTGGCCTGTGGGCCCTCCTACTGCTTCCGCTGCCCTACGCTGTGTTGCGCGCCCCGTGGTGCGCGGCCTCTTATTTTTCATCCCGCCGCGCGCTCGGGGCGCGCGGCGGTTTTCTGCCCGCCGTGCGCCCCGAGGCGCGCGGCGGTTTACTGCTGTGGGGGAGCCAGCGCGCGCCCCGCCCGTCCGTCGCGGAGCCCTGGGAAGCACGCGCGGCCCCCCACCCTGCGCGTCGCGGCGCGCTAGGGAGCCCGCGAGCCCCCCGTCCGTCCGTCGCGACGCCCTCGGGAGCCCGCGAGCGCCCCGCCCGTCGGTCGCGATGCACTGGGGAGCCAGCGGGCGCCCTGCGTGGTCGTCGCGACGTCCTGGGGAGGCCGCGCGCGCCCCGTCAGCTCGTCGTGGCGCCCTCGGGAGGCCGTGCGCGCCCCGCCAGGCCGTCGCGGCGCCCTGAGGAGCCGCGCGCGCGTCCCCTCCGCCCGTCCGTCGCGGCGCCCCGGAGAGCAGCGCGCGCCACGCCCCTTCCCTCGCCCCACCTGTCCGTTCTGGCGCCCTAGAGGCGCGCGCCTTCCCCCCCCTCTCCGTCCCCCGCGCTCCTGTCCCTATCCCACCCGTTTTAGGGTTTGGGGGTGAGGAGTGTGGGGGTGGAGGTTGTGGGGGTGTCCATTGTGCGCGCCGTGCCCTTCTCCTCCTCCTCCTTTGTCTCCCACTACTGCAGCTGTCGCTGAGGGGGGTGGATGAGTGGGAGACTGGGGTTTAGGGTTTTAGGGGGGTGAGTGGGAGTGGAGCTAGCGGGTAGCAGCGGGTGTGTGCCAGGGGGGAGTGGGATAGTTTGGGAAGCTGAATGGAGGTTGCCGTCGTGTCGCCAGCAGCACCTGTATTCCGGGGACTTCGTCCGGTAGCCCGGTCGTAGCCAGCTGTGCCAGCCGCCCGTGGGTCCGTTGCTCGTCTGCCGCTACGTTAGCCGCGGGGCCAGTTACTCCAGTATTCCGGAGCGTTGTTCCGGTAGCCGCTGTGCCAGTGTGCCTCCTGTTGCCCGTGTGTCTGCAGCTTCATCCGTCGCCTCCTATCTCCTCTCCTCTCACTCTCTCTCCTCCTCCTCACTTGCCCGTTGTGACTACCACTAGCTTTGCTCATAATTGTTAACTTTAAACTATTGCTTCTTGAACTTGTGCTCAGAATGTGTGGTGACATTGTGATCCACCCTGAGCTTGTACTGCTTTGCTTGCTCTGCTGATTACACCCCATTTTGGCTATGGGGGTGTGTCAAAATGTTATCTTATGCTCTAGCCTGTAGTGGGGTGCTCTATAGCGAGTACAACCCTTCTAGGGTTTCCTATTTGTATCCCCATTCTTGCTAGTGCAGCCCCCTTCTTTCTTCTAAACTTTCACAATCCCCGTTCTTCGGCCAAGCGCGATCGATTCCATGAATCGGAACCACAACTCGGTGGGGATGATGGTGTTCGGGTGACAGAGCACACTCAGTAAGGGGCCCGTCTGTTACAGACTCTTCCCATTTCTTAGCTCTTTCCCGTCGTTCCTCTTCGCCGGCGTTCTCTCGGGGCAGTCAGCATATTTGTGACCCGGCTTCCCGCACTTAAAACACAACCCTGTGTAGGGGCGGTCTGGTGCATGGACTCCGTTGATCGTGGCCCGTTGGGTCTGGCCGCGAAAGCGATTTCCTTCCCGGAAACTCGACCTCGCGTACTGCATCAGTGCGTCCGTGGATTCTGCCAACCGTGCTGCTTCCAGGAACGATGTCGGGCGGCATCGGCGCACCTCGTGCTGTATCTCATATTTAAGGCCGCTGACGTACTTATCCAACCGCTCCGCCTCTGACATAACGTCCACTTGGTCTGCGAGTGCCATGAATGACGCTGTGTAGTCTTGGACAGATGCCAACTGTGACCAGGCACGCAGCTTCATGCGAGCTTGTTCTGAGCCGGATATGTGCTCGAAGCGATCTCGTAAGGCTGCGCCCCACTCCTTCCACGTGCGTATCTTGGTCACGCCGAATATCGGTGCTGCCACTTGATTAACCGGCGTTAAAGTCCCGTCTGCCGCATGTGTCACACCTGTCGGGGTCCCCGTGTCCAAGGTTCGGTGCCACCACTCAAGCGCTGCGCCTCGAAGGAGAGAAACCGCGTAATTAATACACGTGGCGTCGTCGTTCACACCTGCTGCAGTGAAGAAGACTTCAACGCCGAAAAGCCACCCCTTAACTGTAGTAGTCTTGTCCGTAGGGTTGAACGGGGGCGGGTTGACGAGTTTAATCTTGATCGTCGTTACTGCAATTGGCGTCGCTGCCGCTCGCTGCCTATCCTCTTCATCAAAATCACGTGTGAGCGCGTCCAACGGGTTGCTCACCGCTTGACTGTTGCCCTCGCCTTCTTCATCGGGCGACTCCTGACGCGCTTCACCTCGCGTCTAGCGTAGCTCGACGTTTTCTCCTTGTAGTGTTGTCACTTCTGCTGATAGAGTCTGCACTGTTGCCTGTAGCTCTGCCATTTGCGCCAGCATCTTGTTCAATGTCTCCTGGTCCATGAGTCGCACGCTTCGTCTGGTGGGCAGAGGGGTATCTGTGGCCTTCCGGTGAGTGAAAAACACGAACTATCGGAGTCGGGCAGGATTGAATTAACAAACCTTGCAGCCAACCGTCGTGTAGTCCACTATACCGACCACACCCGTGCCACCAAACTACCCTCAAAAAGCAGGGTGAACTAAGAAAGTAGCTCTGATACTACCGTAAAGTGCCACCTATAGGACCCGCCGGTAAGAGGGTCCCCCGGGACTCTTGAATGGGTAGGGGGACTCTTATTGTGGCAGGTTTTGTGAGGACCCCCCCTTTGTAGCTAATCATTATAAGACCCCCCCCCTTTCCATATAAGGCCCTATTGAGTTTGGTGCAGCTAACATTGTTATCGTTGTTACCTACCGTACTACATACACATCTCAACACCTAGTGGTCACTACAACTACGGCTTGGTCATGTTAGATTCCATCAAGCACTTAGCGTTCGCGTCCTCCTCCAGCCCACCCTCCGCCTCCTCTTCCTCGTCATCCACATCGTCGTCGTCGTCGTCGTCGTCCTCCTCCTCCTCCTCCTCCTCCTCCTCCTCCTCCTCCTCCTCCTCCTCCTCCTCCTCCTCCTCCTCCTCCTCCTCCTCCTCCTCCTCCTCCTCCTCCTCCAGGTCCCCGGCATCCTCAGCATCCGCAGCCTTTGCCGCCTCCTCATCCTCCGCGGCTGTGGCGAACAGTGGGTTCACCCACTCCTCCACCTCAGGGGCGACGTGCACGTCTTGTGCCACCTCGACCTCGCCCGCATCACGCATGTGGGCCAGGACGAGGTGATCTTGCTTCCCATCGACCGAGTTGCTGATGCCTGTCGTGAGAAACGCCTTCTCAATAATGTGCTCGGGGACGGCCGCCCAAGCACTCGCAATCCACTTGAGGACCGTCTCTGCTGGCGGCTTCTTCAGGTTGCCTGCCATGTAAACAGGAAAGAACAAGCACGGGGCGCACACGGAGAGTTATCATAAAGCCAACAACAAGCTACAAACACGCCACAAGGCGAGGTACTAAGCACGGCACCGAAACTCACCGGCTTTCGTGAATGTGTTGACGCCAAACTCGGCAAACCAGTCATTGTAGAGCTGACGGAGCAGTGCCTTGAATGAGCGATTAACGCTCACATCAAGGGGCTGTAGCAGTGGGGTGCAGCCCCAGGGAATTATGGTCGGAATTACCCGGTTCCACTTCATGTTGGTGAGAACGCCGTCGGTGAGGTGGCCCCGGTACGAGTCCACGACGAGAAGCGTCTTGGAACGCCGGATGCCACGCGGAGGCTTGATGAACGGCAGCAGAACGTTATTCACCCAATCATCCACTAGCTTTGCATCCATCCAGCCTTTCGCCTGCGCACGAACAACGACTCCTGCAAAGAAAACAACGCACGTGGTTAGAAATCCGCCACGAAGAGAGACTACCGTGATGGTTACAACTCTAGCAACTCACCTGCAGGGACCCGAATTTTCGGGATCGTTTTGCGCTTGAAGATAACCATGGCGGGGAGCTTGCGCCCGTCCGCGGTGATCCCGAGCATGACAGTCACCTTGTCCTTCTCGTAGCCTGCGCTTCTGACGTGCACCGTCTTCTCTCCGCGGTGATGCAGGGTGCGCTCGTGCGGCATCTCCAGGAAAACGGGCGTCTGGTCGGCGTTTATAATGTTCCATGCGTCTATGCCATGCTTGATTATGTTCCTCCTCGTGAACGCCCAGAACTTCTCACACTTCTGCTTGCACTCTGCCACGGACGCGGACAAGGCGGGAGAAGGACATTAGTGACGGCGGTGGGTTAAGCATTAGTGTTACATGTCGCCAAGCAAACTATACAAGCACACACACGGAGGGAAGCACAAGATAACTCACCCGATGCCATACGCTGACCCATCTTCGTCTTCACGCGGATGGAGAGGCCCAAACGCTGGCGGAAGCGGAAGGTCCACCTGTTGGACGCCATCCACCTCACATCAGGGTAATGCGCCTTCATGTAACACCGGCTCCAGTGCTTGATGAGACGAATAGGCACGGCCAAGGCACGTCCGCGGAAGTTCAGGAGCCGCTTGTAGGTATGCGCCTCCATGTCGGGATATTTCGCCTTTCTCCCTCCACCACTGAGTCGGCGCCTGGACGGTGCCGCCTTCTTAATCCGATCCGCCGCCCTTATCCACCGGTGGACGTTGACAGGCTGCACCCCGGCGAGACGTGCAGTGGCGCGGACAGAGAGCTTCTCATCGTCCATCCGCGCGAGCCATTCCTGCTTCTCACCCATGGTTCGCGCAGTGCGACGGTGGTTAGTCTTGCGGGCGCTGTGAACTGCTGGAGCACCATCAACGTTGGAGCGAGGCCCGTTTTCGTTGTGGATCAAGTCATCTGGAAACGTAGGGATCTGGAAATACCCGACGTCGTCTTCCATGTTCTCGTTCTCGGCATTCGTCTCATTCTCACCGTCCTCAGCGACGTGTTCAGGAAACCCCTCCTCCTCAAGCGGGTCCAAAGGAGGAGTGGTGCGCCAGTCAACGAAGCCCGGGGGAAGCACAGGGGGCGCAGGTGGCGCCGGAGGCGCAGGGGGTGCCGGAGGTGCGGGAGGAGCTGGAGGAGCTGGCGGGGCCGGGCTTGTGATCAGTATGATTGCGGGCTGGCCAGACCCATTTCCTACCGCCATACTGCGAGAACGCCATGGGCTTTCGAAAGCAGACATGGCGAAGAGCTGATACAATTCTAACGACCTATGGTTCACTAAATGGCAGGCGCCATGGCGGGCTATTTAGATGGGTAGGAAGCTAGCCGGGCGGACAAGATCTGAAACAGAGGGAGGGAGGGGATGAAAGCTTGCGTGTACGGTAGAGTGAGGGACGTGAAACTCTAATGCTTCACATCCAGTACCCATTCTGCCACAGAGACATGATGGGGTGGTCAAGGGCCACCTGACGTGCCCATCTTAACGGAAACACCGTCGAGAGGATGTGAGGTGCGGGGCAAACGCCGTTCAGTCCGCCCCGTGCTCTGATTTTCGCCGCGTGTCATTCCCGATGATGCGCACGTGGTGCACCAAGCTAAAGATTCTCGTGCGAAAAATATAAGACCCCCCCCCCCCCCCCCCCCCCCCCCCTCCCCTACCGAGATTGTACATGGTAAATCCATTAATGTTAATAGACAAATAAGTGTACCCCGGGTCTTAAAAATTTGCAACCGCCATAATGTCCACCCTAGCATTTTTTCCAGCATTTGTAGAGAGTCCCCAGGGTCCTATAGGTGGCACTTTACGGTAGGTGTTATGAGTTGTAAAAGAGAGTGCGCGGAATAACGAATAGCGAAGATGTGACTCAATGAACTGACAATACAATGAAGGAACGCGCTAATATAGTGGGTCAACCTAGCTAGGTGGGTACCTCAGGAGCGCGAGGTTGGGTGCAGGTTGGGCAAAGGAAAGGCTGAAGGCGACGCGAGGTTGCTTCGGCAGCAAGCAAAGTGGCCGAACGTGCACTTTCGAAAGTTGGGGTTGTACGCGGTTGAGTAAACCCCTGTAAGAAAAAGGGTTTTTCCTTACACTGGTAAAGCCAGACCACTTAGGAAACTGGATTAGCTTACTCTTAACGAGCTCCCATCTGCAGCGGAACATTTTCTTGGGGATTCCACGCAGTACCTTGGGTTCGCCTCGAGCTTCGCTCCACGGCTTCACTCTGACGAGCAGTAAAACCGAAACACACGCCGAGCAAATAACATTTTAACAGACCACTGCAGTTTCTACTGGCAATCTGATGGAGTACTTGACCCGATCATAGCAACCATAGTCTGCACACTCGCGTGCAAAGGCAGGCGAGGCGATGCAGACCTTTCGCGTGGGTGCGCACGTGTGGGTGCCGGACCCTGAGCTCGCGTGGGAGGAGGGGTGCGTGGTGGAGGACCTGGGGGAAGGCAAACTGGCCGTGAAGATCGATAACCCCGGCAAGCCGGACGTAAGGCGACTGTTTCGCACTGTTGCGCGGAAGTTACTGATTTTTGTAGGCGTCAGAGATGCGTCGCGCGTGGACCGGATTTCTGACTGGTCATATGGACGCGTTTCGCAGAGGTCATTCCGTTTCTGGGTTGACATTATCCATTCATCCTTCTTGATACGATCCCAGTGGACTGACGCGTCCTCGGCTCTGTCGCAACGTCGTTATGAACCTCTACTCCATGCAATTAGAGCAATGATCTCGTTTGTCCGTCCATCTCGTTCCCGCAGCGCAGCTGTGCTTTCGCTTCTTTCCCGATAGTCCCCCTACCGTCTTCTTTCCCATCACCTGCTTCCATTACCATCGTCCCGTCGTCTCATCGTCTCCGTGCTATCATCCGCGGCAGATTCGTCCCCAATGGCAATCACATACGGCTCACGCCTCACTGCCGTCCTCATTCTCATCCCCCCTCCCCGCTCTGCACGGAAGCTATGGGAGGTGCACGCGTCGCTGAGCTGTATTCGTCCAACAGCCCACTGACGGACCCAGGCGGTTGCTATCATTCATAACAATCTCCACCCCTCCCCTCATACTCGCTCCCATCGCCCCGATCTCCCTCCCCGGTGGCAGCTATGGGAGGTGCACGCGTCGCTGTGCTGCATGCGCGAGCCCCACGCGTCAACATTCAAGACAAATTCATCAATCCCCTGCTCTTACACTCATTCCCATCCCCTCTTCCGCCCCCCCCCCCCCCCGCAGCTATGGGAGGTGCACGCGTCGCTGTGCTGCATGCGCGAGCCAGAGGGCCCGCTGCTAGACCCAGGCGGTTGCATGTTCTCCTCCCTTCCCCTCCGCTCGTACTCACACCCTAGCCCCTGCTCCCCCCCCTCCAACAGCTATGGGAGGTGCACGCATCGCTGTGCTGCATGCGAGAACCCGAGGGCCCGCTGCTGGACGACATGGTTCGCCTCACGTGCCTGCACGAGCCTGGTGTGCTCTCCAACCTCTGCCGCCGCTACCGCGCCAACCTCATCTACGTGCGTCCTCCCTCTCACTCGCGCCCTGCTACCCACCCACTGTTCCCGCTTAGCTCCTTGCCCAGAGGTGCAGTTTTTCCTTCTTTCAGCCCCTGGTGGTTCTAGAATTTTAGAAGTTCTTGTTCTGTTCCCTGTCTCGACACAGCTCAGCACTCTGTTATTCCTGCTTTCCCTCTCACACCATCTCCCAGCCCCTCCCTGTTTCAACTCCCTCGCTTTCACTTTTCCTCGCTCCTCCCGTCCTCCATCCCTCCATTCCCCTCCAGACGTACACAGGATCTATCTTGATAGCGCTGAACCCGTTTGTGCGCATACCCGGGCTGTACGACGCAGCAATGATGCGCCAGTACCACGGCGTGCCCCTCGGCCTGCTCTCACCACACGTCTTCGCCACTGCAGAGAACGCCTTCCGGTACGCTTGGCGCGTGCATGCGCAGAATCCCCATCCACGCTCTCCCTCCCAGTATGACCACGATCCCTTGCAGTAACACTGGTAGCAGTCAAAAGGTAGCCCTGACACACACACACACACACACACACACACACACACACACACACACACACACACACACACACACACACACACACACACCCAACACGTGTCATGCCATGGCATGTATTATGTAGCAAACATCACCTTCCATGCCATGCTGTGTGCAACCCGCTGCACATGCACGCAGGGCCATGAAGGAGGGAGGTCGCAGCCAGGCCATTCTGATAAGTGGGGAGAGCGGAGCCGGCAAGACAGAGACCACGAAGCTCATCAGAGAGTACCTCGCTCGCGTTGTTGCTCTCACCCACTCCGCCTTTCTTCCCTCCCTCCTCACCACTGTCTTCCCCACTGCTTATGCGCACACACAGGGCCATGAGGGAGGGAGGTCGCAGCCAGGCCATTCTGATAAGTGGGGAGAGCGGAGCCGGCAAGACGGAGACCACGAAGCTCATCATAGAGTACCTCGCCCGCGCTGCTGCCCACAGCGACCCCACCTCCCTGCCTTCCCCCACCACCGTCCTCCCCATTCCCTCCGCCTCCCTCCCCGCCCTGCACATCCACCCGCCTGGCTCGACCTCCGCCTCTCCAAGCATAGAGTCCCTTGTTCTTCAGGTAGGTCTGATTGTTTGCTATGTGGATGGTAACCATAGGCTATCAAACGTGTAGTTGGGTCAAATGATGCTAGTGTAGATGATTTTGGGAGATACAGGACGTTGTAAAAAATATCTGTTATATACCTTTTCCCTTGGTTCTTCTTCTAAGCGTTTTATATGAATCTAATCTACCCGTTCTGTCTCACTCACTCCTGCTGGCGTTTTATATGTGTGCAGGCCAATCCACTTCTGGAGGCATTTGGAAACGCCAAGACTCTCAGGAACAACAACTCAAGGTACCCATACGATTGCCACTGCCCACTCGCCTCTTTCTTTTAACAAGCCACTCATCGCAACCACCATTATCCCTCCTCTTGCCATTCCTGAGTACTTGCCCCCTACCCACCACCGCAGCCGCTTTGGCAAGTTCATAGAGCTGCAGTTCGGGCAGGGGGGCGGGCTGACGGGAGGGGTGGGCTGTGGGGTGAATCGTGCTTCAACTCAACTCCCCTTTCCATTGCCATCATGTGCCCCCTACCCACCTCCGCAGCCGCTTTGGCAAGTTCATAGAGCTGCAGTTCGGGCAGGGGGGCGGGCTGACGGGAGGGGTGGGCTGTGGGGTGAATCGTGCTTCAACTCAACTCCCCTTTCCATTGCCATCATGTGCCCCCTACCCACCTCCGCAGCCGCTTTGGCAAGTTCATAGAGCTGCAGTTCGGGCAGGGGGCCGGGCTGACGGGAGGGGTGGGCTGTGGGGTGAATCGTGCTTCAACTCAACTCCCCTTTCCATTGCCATGATGTGCCCCCTACCCACCTCCGCAGCCGCTTTGGCAAGTTCATAGAGCTGCAGTTCGGGCAGGGGGGCAGGCTGACGGGAGGGGTGGGCTGTGGGGTGAATCGTGCTTCAACTCAACTCCCCTTTCCATTGCCATGATGTGCCCCCTACCCACCTCCGCAGCCGCTTTGGCAAGTTTATAGAGCTGCAGTTCGGGCGGGGGGGCGGGCTGATGGGGGCAGCGGTGCGCACATACCTGCTGGAGCGGTCACGAGTGGTACACATCGCAGACTGCGAGCGCAACTACCACATCTTCTACCAGATGTGCCAGGGGCTCTCCAATGAGGTGAGCCGTGTACAATCACCCTGGAAGAAAGTTCGCTGCAGCTGCCCCCAAAACCCAGCATGTCCATGAGGTGAGTCATGTGCCAGCGGCTGGCTTCCATGAGGTGCGCAGTGCAAACATACCTGCTGGAGCAGTCACGTGCGGTGCACATTGCAGGTTGCGAGCGCAACTACCACATCTTCTACCATGTGCCAAGGGCTCTCCAACGAGGTGCGACCATGAAGACGTGTGCGTGGGAAAAACGTCTTGCTGCAGCAGCCTCTAGGCCCCAGCACACGTTCACAGCACTTTCACCATGAGTTCCTGCTTTCACCTGCATGTCTACTCATGTCTCCCTACTTCTCCCTGCCACGCTCACTCATCCCAGGGCACTACTCTACAGCTGCTCCCAGACCCGAGCACACGAGCACACCACTTTCAGAGCTCCTGCTTTCACTCCATCTGCCTGTCTACTCGTGCCCCCTGTTTCTCCCCTTATCCAACAGTGTCCTTCAACTCTTTCCTTCACCATCCCATCACACAGGAAGCAGCAGCGCTACAACTGCCCCCGGATCCCAGCACGCGCGCACACCACTTTCACTACCTCAACCAGAGCTCCTGCCTCCACCTGCCTGTCTACTCATGCCTCCCTCCATGACCCCTTAAACAGAGCTCCTGATTCGACCCTTTCCTTCATATCCCACCATGCAGGAAGCAGCGGCTCTGCAGCTTCCTCCAGACCCCAGCACGCGCGCCCACCACTTTCACTACCTCAACCAGAGCTCCTGCCTCCACCTGCCTGTCTACTCATGCCTCCCTCCATGACCCCTTAAACAGAGCTCCTGATTCGACCCTTTCCTTCATATCCCACCATGCAGGAAGCAGCGGCTCTGCAGCTTCCTCCAGACCCCAGCACGCGCGCCCACCACTTTCACTACCTCAACCAGAGCTCCTGCCTCCACCTGCCTGTCTACTCATGCCTCCCTCCATGACCCCTTAAACAGAGCTCCTGATTCGACCCTTTCCTTCATATCCCACCATGCAGGAAGCAGCGGCTCTGCAGCTTCCTCCAGACCCCAGCACGCGCGCACACCACTTTCACTACCTCAACCAGAGCTCCTGCCTCCACCTGCCTGTCTACTCTTGCCTCCCTCCATGACCCCTTAAACAGATCTCCTGATTCGACCCTTTCCTTCATATCCCACCATGCAGGAAGCAGCGGCTCTGCAGCTTCCTCCAGACCCCAGCACGCGCGCACACCACTTTCACTACCTCAACCAGAGCTCCTGCCTCCACCTGCCTGTCTACTCATGCCTCCCTCCATGACCCCTTAAACAGAGCTCCTGATTCGACCCTTTCCTTCATATCCCACCATGCAGGAAGCAGCGGCTCTGCAGCTTCCTCCAGACCCCAGCACGCGCGCCCACCACTTTCACTACCTCAACCAGAGCTCCTGCCTCCACCTGCCTGTCTACTCATGCCTCCCTCCATGACCCCTTAAACAGAGCTCCTGATTCGACCCTTTCCTTCATATCCCACCATGCAGGAAGCAGCGGCTCTGCAGCTTCCTCCAGACCCCAGCACGCGCGCACACCACTTTCACTACCTCAACCAGAGCTCCTGCCTCCACCTGCCTGTCTACTCCTGCCTCCCTCCATGACCCCTTAAACAGAGCTCCTGATTCGACCCTTTCCTTCATATCCCACCATGCAGGAAGCAGCGGCTCTGCAGCTTCCTCCAGACCCCAGCACGCGCGCCCACCACTTTCACTACCTCAACCAGAGCTCCTGCTTCCACCTGCCTGTCTACTCATGCCTCCCTCCATGACCCCTTAAACAGAGCTCCTGATTCGACCCTTTCCTTCATATCCCACCATGCAGGAAGCAGCGGCTCTGCAGCTTCCTCCAGACCCCAGCACGCGCGCCCACCACTTTCACTACCTCAACCAGAGCTCCTGCCTCCACCTGCCTGTCTACTCATGCCTCCCTCCATGACCCCTTAAACAGAGCTCCTGATTCGACCCTTTCCTTCATATCCCACCATGCAGGAAGCAGCGGCTCTGCAGCTTCCTCCAGACCCCAGCACGCGCGCACACCACTTTCACTACCTCAACCAGAGCTCCTGCCTCCACCTGCCTGTCTACTCCTGCCTCCCTCCATGACCCCTTAAACAGAGCTCCTGATTCGACCCTTTCCTTCATATCCCACCATGCAGGAAGCAGCGGCTCTGCAGCTTCCTCCAGACCCCAGCACGCGCGCCCACCACTTTCACTACCTCAACCAGAGCTCCTGCTTCCACCTGCCTGGCCGCGCCTCCGACGCCGACGAGTTTGCCGCCACCATGGCAGCCATGCGTGCCGTTGGCATCACCGCTCAGCAGCAGGTGGGTGGGGGGTGATGTGAGGGCAGTAAGAGAGAAAGCGGCAGGAGGGAGGGGAGGGGGTGTTGTTTTTCGTGCTTGTGTGAGAGCATCTGTGTGTCACCATGCCAGCCATGTGTGCCGTCGGCATCACTGTGCAGCAGCAGGTGGGTGGGTGAGTGTGATGCGAGGGCTATAAAAGAGAAAGAGAGTGCATGGGGAGGGCTATCTTCCTGCTTATGTACGAGCATCTGTGGGCCGCTATGGCAGCCATGTGTGCCAATGGCATCACAGTGCAGCAGCAGGTGGGTGGGTGGGTCTGATGTGATGGCAGTAAGAGATAAAGAGGGCAAGGGAGGGGAGGGGGGGGGTTATCCTGCTTGTGTGCACCTATTTAAGCACCTTGTTTGCCCTCCTCACACTCCTTTCTCACCCCCTCCCTCTCGCCTCTCTCCTTCCCTTCCTCGCCCCTCTGCCCCTTCCCGTTCAAAATGGTCCGCCCACCAGGACTCAATTTTGAAAATACTGGCAGCCATCCTCCATATAGGCAACTTCACGTTTGAGCAGAGTGGCTCGGACCTGGTGCTGGAAGTGCCTCATGCAGAGGCGCATCTGGGTGCCGCTGCCGACCTGCTCAGGTGTGGTCTTAGCCGCTCAGGTTCGTTCTTATGGCCTCTTTTGTGTGTGTTCCTAGCTGCTTAGGTGTATCGTGGACCGCCTTGGGTGTGTTCGAATCTGCTCTCGATTCCTCCTCGTGTTGCTGTGTTTGCTCTATTTGTCCCACTGCTCCATTCCCCCTGTACCTTCTGGTTGAATCGGCCTGGACAGGCTGGCAGTGGACGAGTTGTTGATGGTGATCAACAGTGAGTGGGTGGGCCTGCCACACCACGTAAACCCAAGCTCCCCCACCCCACCCTTCTTCTCCTGCGTCCCCCCATCTCTTCCTTCAGAGTGGACAAGGAAGCAATGCGTGAGTGGATCACAGTCGTCATTACCAGACGGGTGGGCCTGAACCGGAGGTTGCCGTTAATTCCCACTCTACGCCATGTCAATACCTTCCTCCTCCCACCCCGCCTTTCCCTCGGGAACCTGCTCAGAGTGGACAAGGAAGCGATGCGAGAGTGCATCACAGTGGTGACCAGGCGGGTGGGGCCGGAAGTCATTCGCAGCCCAGCGGACGACCGCACCGCCTGCTTACGCCGCGATGCCCTTGCCAAGGCGCTCTACTCGCGCGTCTTCGACTGGTGGGTGTTACTCCCCTACCCCTCACCTCCTTGCTCTCGTGTGCGCATTGTGTGAGAGTCGACTCAACAACCCCCACTCCACTCCACCGCACCGCCTGCTTGCGCCACAACACCCTGGCCAAGGCGCTTCACTCACGCGTATTCAACTGGTGGATCCCTCCCGCCCCTCGTTCGTGCATGCGCCTTGTGTGAGTCAACTTCACAACCTCACCTCACTGCATGTGTGCTTCACGACACCCTGGCCAAGGCGCTCTACTCGCGCGTCGCCCCTGCTATTCGTGTCCCTTGCTCGCCGTCGCCCGCCTCTGGAGGGTGGTGAAGCGCATAAACACGCTCGTACAGCAGACATGGCAACGCGGGTAGCAAGGTTCAGTGCCCAGCCCGTCCCCCCTGCAACATGTCTCCAGCCTGTGCAGGCTGGTGAGAGGATCCATGAGTCGATACAGCAGACAGGGCTGGGCAGGTAGCGGGGTTCAATGCCCCTCCCCGCTATTGGTCCCCCCTGCTCCCCGTTACCCGCCTGTGCAGGCTAGTGGAGCGCATCAACGAGTCAATACAGCAGACAGGCGGGGTGGAGGAAGGCAGGTGCATTGGCGTGCTGGACATCTATGGCTTTGAGCACTTCGAGACAAACAGGTAAATGCAGATGTTGGAATGGGCTGCCTGCCTTGTAACACTTGAGTCAGCGCAAGAGTTGCCTTGGAGGAAGGCAAGTGCATTGGCGTGCTGGACATCTACAGCTTCGAGCACTTTGAGCTCAACAGGTAAATGCAGAATGCGAATCTTTAGATGATTCCCTTGTAGAGACGGGCGAACCATGTGGAGAAGTTGCTTGCTTAGATGAGGAAAGAGGGTTGCGCATGACATGCAAACAGCATTATCGTCTTCTGGAATCCATGAGGCTGGGAAGACGGTTGCGCAATCAATACCCGCCTCATGGATTTTGCTGTTGCGCTCTCCCTCTCCTTGTGTCTTTCGTACGCTCCCGCCTCCCTCCCTTCACCCTCCTGTTGCCCCTTGCCTTATGCCTCCTTGTATACTCCCCCCTGCCCTGCCCCTCCCCTCCCCTTCCACCTTGCTGCAGCTTTGAGCAGCTGTGCATCAACCTGGCCAATGAGAAGCTGCAGCAGCACTTCAACCAGGTACGCTATAGGGTTACACTTGAACCACGTCTGCAGCAACTCTTCAACCAGGTACTAAGGGTACATTCCACTCTCTGGTTATAGCTTCTGGCCAGCGACCCCTAACTTCTGGTCAGTGATAATTTTGGGTGCACGACAGGTATGCGTTCAGTTGCGAGCAAGAGTGATCCCCCACTGTTGGATGGAGAATCTTGAGCGGCTGTTTAGACCCGATTTTTATGGTTCACATTTGACACAAATGGGTATGAATAGTCACGATACCAAAACACAGCCAACAAGAAAACGAATCAATTAAGGGCTCATGTGCACAAACAATGTTGGCTTTCGGTTTCGTTTTTTTACCGATAAATCAAATTACTACAGTACTCCGTGACAAAATGCTGAACCAGCTGTAATCATCGCACTACAGTGTTGGTAAAACCTCCATATTATTGGTTGCGCGACATCCCGCATGACAACTTTGCAGTTGGAAAATCGCTAGGGAAACACATCGCTAACCAGAGGCTTCTGGTCATCCAACGTCTAATTAAGAACGGTTAACCAAAAGATTGACCAGAGCGCGGAATGTACCCTAAGAGGATAACATTTATATCGTGTGAGCAGCAACACTTCAAGGGTACCAAGGTGATTCTACTTGAACTATGCTTGCAGCAACAGTTTGATGGGTAAGTATTGTTAATGAGTCTTTCAAGGCACCCATTAGGCTCACTGGAATTGCAAATGTAGGAACCTCATTGTCGCGAAAGGTCAGGCACGAAGCCTGCAAGGGGCCTCACTGCAAGTCTTTGCTTCAAACAAACCTTGTGGTCGCCCCCTTGCGAGGGGGCCACATGCTCCTCAACACATGCCCCTCCCTGTGCATACGTTTGACACGGCAGCCTGTGTTGAGGGAGGAGCGGCAGGTGTATGAACGGGAGGACATCACATGGAACCTTCATGCCTTGACTGCCCTTCACACCCTGCCCCTCTCTCTCCATCTCCGCACCTCCCCCCTGCAGCATGTGTTGAGGGAGGAGCAGCAGGTGTACGAGCGCGAGGGCATCAAGTGGGACTTCATTGACTTTGACGACAACAGCGACGTGCTTGACGCCATTGAAGGGGTGTGTTGTGTTGTTGTCATGGGACAGCGATGTGTTTATGTGGCATGGTTCACGTTCATGTCATCATTTAGACAGATCCAAGCCATTTGGTACCTTTAGGCTGTAGCTTGTGATCGATGTTCTCCACACCATTCGCAACCAGACCTGGATGATGGGCTTCACTTCATTGATACAGAAGAGTGCTTTGCTCCAGTCCGTTAAGCATATGCACTTTCCGAACTCTGGGTTTTTTCCGGAGAATCTCTCAACAAGAAGGTTCTGCGTTGCACCACCCTCGCACACACAGGGGGACCTTACATGTGCTCTTGTGCAGTGCAATGCATCGTTGCTGTCCTTCCTTGCACTCCTCCCATCCCAACCCAACCGCCCCCTCCTCTACCCACCCACAGGACAAGGGCATTATCTCAATGCTTGACTCTGCCTGGTACGCCATGCCCCTCCACCCACCTTCCTCTCGCCAATCACTCTTACCTGCTTTCCATGCTCTATCTAAGCGACTCTCAAGGGTTTTGTTTTGCCTTTGACAAGTCCGCTTGCGTTTTTTCTCTCACAACCTTTCCCTTGCTCCAGTGCATGCGTGAAGCTCAGATGCCACATTGCGCAATTGTTAATCGATTGAAGCGTACGCACTGTGTCAACATCGCATCGCATACACTCAGCCACATCAAGTCCCCACATCCAGAGCTTTGCTGAAATGTGACTTGTAGAATGAGGATCGGTGAACTTGAGGCACAATGAGAGAAGAACAATATATCCTTAGTAGGAAGATGGTACAAGCCTGAAAGGCTAGAGCAATGTCCTTTCCAAGGATAAGTTCTAGAGAAGTGGGAAGCCACATTTATGTGGCTGAACTCTTGAGGCTAGCTGCAGCACCTCAAAGCTGAGGGCAGGGCTAGCCAACCTTGCCAAGCTAGCAATTGAGGCCACATGTTGCACATGTGGGCCAGGCTGGAACAACAGCCTACATGGCAGCATGTGGCACACCATAGGAGCCAACAAGGTGAGTATGGGATGGGTGGACAGATGGCAATGCCAACTGTGACCACACTTCACTGTGGGTGAGTGTGGTGGAGTGTGGGAGTGTCATGTTCGGCATAATGAGAAGAGAAGGTGCTGCCGATGAGAGTTGAACCCGCGACCACTAAGACCAAAGGTACCCACTGGGACATTCTTGCTTCCACAACACCCCCCCTCAAGGATGTCCCCGGGGTAGGGTGCCTCAAGAGGAAACATGGGTGAGACCGAGAAGACCACGGATGCGAAGAAAAGGGTCACGGGGCAAAGGCTTGGTCCCAATGTCAGCGAGGTTGTCTTGAGTAGGAACATAGTGAAGGGTGATGGAGTGGTCGGCAACATGATCGCGAATGAAATGGTGCTTGATGTCGATGTGCTTGGCCTTGGGATGAAAGACGCCATCGTCCTTGGCGAGAATGATGGCACTGTTGTTGTCACACGAGATACGGGTGGGGCCGGTAGGGGGAAGTCCAACTGCAGTAAGGAGCGAACGAAGCCATAATGCCTCGTGCACCGCGGCGCCCAGAGAGTAATATTCAGCTTCACATGAAGAGGTAGCAACGACGGCTTGGCGTTTGGACTGCCAAGAGATGAGTGACGGACCGAGGAAGAACAAGTAGCACGTAACGGAGCGACGCAGCTCCCCCTCCGGTCCCCAAGAGGCGTCACACCAGCCATGAAGTTCGAGGGTGTCGGGAATGCCACCAAGGAGAAGCCCAAGGGAGGTAGTCCCTTTCAAGTAGCGAGCAATGCGTTTGGCAGCCGAGACGTGAGGAGTAGACCAATCGTGAAGGTGACGAGCAAGAACTCCAGCGCTATATGCGAGGTCGGGACGGGTCCCCACCATGGCATACATGATGGAGCCGACAAACGAGGTGTAAGGGAAGGAGGAGGAGTGCGGGGAGGAAGTCACGGGTGGCTGAAACTTTGTGTCCATGGGAGTGGCAGCGGGGTTCAGTGGAGAGAAGGAGTAGGTGTCTAGAATGGAAGTGATGAATTTGGATTGATGAAGGTGGAGAGTGCGGGAAGTTCGATCACGAGTGATGTGAAAGCCAAGGTAGTAGGAGAGAGGTCCGAGGTCACGAAGTTTGAAGCGAGATGAAAGGGCATGCTTGAATGAGGCAAGAAGAGAGGAGGAGGAGGAGAGAATGATGAGGTCGTCAACATAGACGAGAAGCATGAAGAAGGATGCAGCTGTAGGCCGATAAGGTGAGTGAGGAGGAGCAATGAAGAGGCCGGGGTCCGCACGAGCAGCAAAGAGGTGAAAGGCAGCAAGCTCCTCACGAAGCTTGCGGTACCAGCATCGCGGAGCTTGCTTCAACCCGTACAGCGGTTTGTGCAAGAGACAAACTTGCTCAACACCATGGACCGCCGGAAGGTCATAACCGGGAGGCTGCATCATGTAGAGAATCTCATCAAGGGTGCCGTTGAGGAAGGCGTTGGAGATGTCCAGCTGATGGACGTCCAGGTTGAAAGCGGCAGCTATGGTGAGAAACAAGCGGAGGGTGGCGAAGCGGACGGTAGGAGCAAAGGTGTCATGAAAATCAACACCATCACGTTGCTTGAAGCCTTTGACAACAAGGCGGGCTTTGCGGCGTTCAATAGAACCATCAGCGTTCTCCTTGACCTGGAAAATCCATTTGCATGGAATCGGCTTGCACTTGGGTGGTCGAGGAACAATGCTGTAGGTGTCATTAGCGTGCAGGGCAGCGAGTTCCGCATCAGCAGCCTTGATCCATTCGGCAGCATCAGGGCCGGTACGAGCCTCATGAATGGTTTGAGGTTCGTAATGATGGTGAAGTGCAGCATTGGCAGAGGTGTTGGAAAGAGGAGGAAGAGTGAAGTCAATGGGTTCGGAAGGGGATGGTAAGACCTTGAGGAAGGAGAAAAGGGAAGGATCGGGAAGAGCTGAAGGGGATGGCGGGGAGGAGCGAGTCGTGCAATGGGGAGGGGGAGGCGAAGAGGGAGGAGAGAAGGATGGAAGGTGAAAGTCTTGCGGCGTCGAGGGCAGAGGAAGGTTGGAAAACAATGGAGGAGGAGAAGATGTGGCTGGTGCGGGCAGGTTTGGGGATTGTGGGTGGGGGTTGGTGGAGGAAGGTATGGTGGGGGAAGGAGAGGGAGGGGAGATTGGGTCCAAGGAAGAAGGGTGTGTAGGAGGGCCCGCTCAGCTACTCCATTTTGCTCAGGTGTGTATGGCGTGGAGAGGTGGCGGGCGATGCCATGAGCTGTGAGGAATGAAGTGAAGGCTTTGGAAGTGAACTCCAAGGCACCGTCAGAGCGAAAGGTTTTGATGGTGTGTGGGGAATGCATGTTGTGCACCCGAGTGACGTAAGCCTTGAAGCATGAAAGTGCCTCCGACCGGTGGCGTAGGAGATACACTGTAATGTGGCGGGAGTAGTCGTCGATGAAGGTGAGAAGGTAGCGAGCGCCGCCAATGGTAGTTCCATATGAAAGCGGTCCAGCAATATCTGAGTGAATGAGTTGGAGTGGGGCTGTGGTGCGAGAATGGGACACGCCAAATGGCTGACGTGTTTGTTTCCCACGATAGCACGAGATGCAGGGGGGAATCGAGGTGGAGGAGAGGTGAAGACCGGTGACCAGCTGCTGCCGATGAAGTGTTGACAAGGCCTGCATGTTGAGATGCCCGAAACGACGATGCCAGAGGTACGAGGAGGTGGTGGTGGAGGCTGGACATGCAGTTGGCTTGATAGAAGGAGCAGCACTGCTCCCATGATGCAGTTGAAGATAAAACAGATTGTTGCGGGTGTAGCCCTCGCCAATAGGAACGTCATCAGATGTGAGAACAACGCGCCCAGCAGCGGGGAACGAGACGGCAACGCCGGCAGCACCAAGCGCACGAACAGAGAGCAGGTTGTGAACTGATGAAGGGAGAAATAGAACGTTGTCAAGCTGAATGGTGGTTTCCGATGTTGGTGACCGAAGAGTAGCCACCACCGTGCCGACTCCCAAGACCTTGTAAGTCTCTCCTCCACCAAAACGAACAAGGATCTCTTCGTTGGGCTTCTTGAGAGACGAAAACAGCGAACGATCCGAGCAGATATGGGAGGATGCGCCGCTGTCCACCAGCCACGACGAAGTCCGCTCCATATTGAATGAGGAGGCCGTGAATGCCGATGCGTAGGGAGCCCCATAAGGGAAGAGGAGGAGGAGAAGGAGGATGGTGAGAATGAAGACAGCAGCGACGAGAGGAGTCCATGTGGAGAAGATGGGGTGGTGGCTGGTGCTGACAGCAATGTCCACGTACCGGGAATCAGGTACGGACTGAGGGGTTGATGGGGCAGGAGGTGGTGTGGGGGTCGGAGTAGCTTCAGCAGAGGAGCTGGTGGAGACATGCACCGAGGGCTGGAAGACGGATTTCTCCCGTTTAGAGCTTTCTTCAAGCTCTTTCTTCTTCTTCAATTTGAAGCATTCATCGATGGTGTGACCCGTTTTCTTGCAGTAACGGCAGGTGGGCGACTGGCGTGAACCGGAGCGAAGAGGGTGGGAGGGCTGGGAATTGAGGTTGTATGCACCCTCCATGTTACGGCTTGTACCAGATTGTGACCGCTCCCAATCGGCATCGAGTAGGCGTGACTGTAGGTATTCAACCGTCATAGACTTTATGTCTTTCACGGTGCAAATGGTTTCAGTAAGGGTCTTGAACGAGTCCGGAAGGTTGAGGATGATGGAGATTACCACCACCCATGATGGTAGCTCAAAGCCGGCAGATTTGAGTTGGTGTGTAAGGTTTCCAACTCGATCAAAGTAGGAGCGAAGACTTGTTGTTGGGTCCATCCATGTAGTGATGAGATCCCGGAAGAGAGCCACTTGTGCATGGTTGCCCATGCAGTCGAACCGCGCCATGATGCATCCCCACATATCCTTTGTCGTGTTGGCTTGAGCAAGAGTGAGCGATAGTTGAGGATGGACGGCTGACATGAGAAGATAGTATGCATGCTCCTCTTTTTCTTCATCCGGCAGCGAAGCAATCGAATGGGCTGTCTTAGGGGCTGCACCGCTGTTGCCTTCGGTAGTCTCTCCACCGCTGGTTGTGGAAGAGGAGATTGAAGGACGCGAAGCAACCTTGGGATCTCCAAGGAGGGAGATCAGCCCGAGGACATTGAAGATGTAGCAGATCTTTTTCTTCCATGGAATGAAGTTGGAACCATCTGGTTCCAAGATGGGAAGGGTGTGCCGACCGAGAGGCGTTTCAACTTGAGCCATGAAGTGTGCAACGTTCACTAAGCTAGAAGCCTTGCTCTGATAGCATGTAGAATGAGGATCGGTGAACTTGAGGCACAATGAGAGAAGAACACTATATCCTTAGTAGGAAGATGGTACAAGCCTGAAAGGCTAGAGCAATGTCCTTTCCAAGGATAAGTTCTAGAGAAGTGGGAAGCCACATTTATGTGGCTGAACTCTTGAGGCTAGCTGCAGCACCTCAAAGCTGAGGGCAGGGCTAGCCAACCTTGCCAAGCTAGCAATTGAGGCCACATGTTGCACATGTGGGCCAGGCTGGAACAACAGCCTACATGGCAGCATGTGGCACACCATAGGAGCCAACAAGGTGAGTATGGGATGGGTGGACAGATGGCAATGCCAACTGTGACCACACTTCACTGTGGGTGAGTGTGGTGGAGTGTGGGAGTGTCATGTTCGGCATAACGAGAAGAGAAGGTGCTGCCGATGAGAGTTGAACCCGCGACCACTAAGACCAAAGGTACCCACTGGGACATTCTTGCTTCCACAACATGACTCACACGACACATGCCAGCTATGATGACTTCAACAAATGCATACGCTGTACCATCTTGTCTGCCCGGCCCCACGAGACGCCATCCGCCGTGATCCAATATTATCATTCCCATCCATGCAGCAAGCTGGCGCACATGACGCCAGCCAGCCTGGCTCAGACGCTGCGGCAGTCGCTGGAGGGCAGCAAGCGCTTCACCATGCCGCGTGGCTCTGCTGCCACCGACTTCACTCTCTCGCACTACGCAGGCAAGGCAAGGCATGTCCCTGCTGATGCTGCTGCTGATGCTGCTGCCGCCGCCTCGGCTGCTGTTGCTGCTTTTGCTACTGTTCCACTGGCACTTCTGTGCGTCCTGCTCCTCCCACACAGACGTTGCCACTATGCACCTGGCTCCATCCCTTTCTACCTGCCACCACTCTCTCACCATCCCATCTCTCTTGCGTCGTCCCCTTCCACTTCCACCTGCTTGTCTGCACCACTCCCTACCATCCCATCTTAAGAAACACACGTTGGCACTTCGCCACCCAACCCAACCCTTCCAAGTGCCCTGCTATTCTCCCTGCTCCGCTTCATAGCCCCTCTAACCGCACCACACCCTACCCAACCCCCCCCTCGATGGTTCCACAGGTGCGTTACTCCCTGCTTGAGTTCATGGCCAAGAACACAGACGTGACCATCCCAGAGCAGCAGCAGCTGCTAGAGCAGTCCTCAAACGATCTTCTCGCTGCCCTCTTCTCCCCGCCTCCCGCCAACCCTCCCTCCACCCCGACCTCCCCCTTCCTACCCACCCCGGGTAGCCCCCTCCCCACCACCCCCGGCAAACCTCCCTTCCCTGGCGCATACTCCTATATAAACGCCGCTGCTGCTGCCACAGCCACTGCTGGAGACCCTGCCAACGCCCCTCCCAGCCCCGCGTCTTCCCTTTCAAGCCCCTTTGGCCAGCGCCTCAACGCCTTCAGAAGCCCCTCTGCCAGTGCTGATGCGGGCGGCCCGGGCGGCGTGGGGCGGCGGCTGCTTGGAGGGCCTCAGAGCCCCCTGGGGGATGGGCAGAGCCCGAGGGGAGGGGGCGGGGGAATGAGAGGCAGTGCAGGAGGGAGAGGAGGGGGGTCGCGTGTTACATCTCTGGGCCGGCAGTTCAAGGTGAGGCTGCGGGTGGGGTGCACTGCACAACTGAAAGGTTGGTGATTCAAGGTGTGGTGTGGGGTACAAATGTAGAGCAGGCTCTGTGTACACCCCATTTTTGGCAAGTCCAGCTCCCGGGAATCCATGTTAGAGATGAGTTTGGGAGTGACATGTCACTGTAAGCCCCTTGCTGCTGCACCGCCCTTCATGATGCCGCCTCTGCTGCCGCCCGCTCCACCTTCATTCTGCCACTTGCCTCTGCTCCTCCACAACCCCCGCACTCAACCTCGCCGCAGCACCTGTCCCAACCTTCTAAAGCACTCCCCTCCCTTCACCATGTACTGCAAACAAACCTTGTCTCAACGCACACGGATCGCCTCACACCCCTTCTGCCTGCTCTGCCTCCGTCCCGCCTTCGCCCCCAACCCACTGGCCTCGCTTCAGCTCCAGCTGGCGCAGCTGATGAAGACACTGTCTGCCATGCAGCCCCACTACGTGCGCTGCATCAAGCCAAACGCCGCCAGCCACCCGGCTGTTTTTGACTGGCTCTCTGTGGCCAGTCAGCTGCGCTCTGGGGTGAGAGGGGCATGCGATGTGGGGTGTGAGGGGCGTGCAGTGTGGGGTGTGAGGGGCGTGCGATGTGAGGTGAGAGGGGCGTGCAGTGTGGGCCGAGAGGGGCGTGCAGTGTGGGCCGAGAGGGGCGTGCAGTGTGGGCCGAGAGGGGCGTGTGGTGTGGGGTAAGAGGGGCGTGTGGTGTGGGGTGAGAGGGGCGTGTGGTGTGGGGGGGTGAGAGGGGCGTGTGGTGTGGGGTGAGAGGGGCGTGTGGTGTGGGGTGAGAGGAGCGTGTGGTGTGGGGTGAGAGGGGCGTGTGGTGTGGGGTGAGAGGGGCGTGTGGTGTGGGGTGAGAGGGGCGTGTGGTGTGGGGTGAGAGGGGCGTGTGGTGTGGGGTGAGAGGGGCGTGTGGTGTGGGGTGAGAGGGGCGTGTGGTGTGGGGTGAGAGGGGCGTGTGGTGTGGGGTGAGAGGGGCGTGTGGTCTGGGTTTGAGCATGCACGCACATGTCTTTGTATGTAAGCATGGTTTTGAAAGCTTGACTCTTCGTTCTCATTCGGAGCTGTTTGACTGGAAAGAAAGGTATGTGTCTCATATCCCCCTTCTTTGGAGTTCCCCTTCTCACACTTCTCCCTCTATTCCCTCTCGTTCTCTCCCCTCCCCCCTCCCTTTCCTCCTCACGCTCTCCCTCCCCCCCTCCCCCTCTGCCCCCTCCCACCAGGGCGTGGTGGAGGCCATTCGAGTGTGCTCTGCCGGCTTCCCATCGCGCCGCCCCTTCGGGGATTTCATCGAGCGCTTTGCCCTGCTGCTGCCCCCTGACTCTCCTGCTGCGCTCAAGCTCTCAACGTGAGTGGCTGGCCGGCCCACATTCCACCATCCAGTCCAGATGTGCTTCTCGTGTTTCACCCCACATCCGAGTCCTTGTCTTTACCTGCACTTGAGCACCCTCACATCATGCACCTCGCATTCTCGTGTGTCACATACACCCTGCATCTGATACTGATTCTTGGAGCTGCAACTACTATCAGTGTCAAATGCAGCAAGCAGCCACATCACCCTCCCCGTATCCTTCCTCTGTGCATCTCTATGGGCCCCTTTAGTCCACACATCCCCTTTAGTCCACACATCCCCTTTTGTTGGACAACTCTCTGTCCTTCTGCCAAACACGTCCTTGTTATGCCCCTCTCTTTCTCCACGCCCCTCCCCGTCGGTGCTCCTCACGCCCTTCTCTCGCTCCCATGACCTCCCTCTCGCTCCCATTGCCTCTCACCTTCGCAGGGCATCGGAGCCTGACATTGTGAAGCTCATTCTCACCAATGCCAATCTCACAGGCTGGCAGGTGAGTGTGACAGGCTGGCAGGTGATTGTGACAGGCTGGCAGGTGAGTGACAGGCTGGCAGATAATGGTGAGCATGGTGTGACTGTGGCCATCCCCTTTTCATGTCAACCGCTACTCACTCCTCTCCTCTCCACCCACCCATCTACTTATCCAACCAGGTGGGGCGCTCCATGGTCTCTCTTCGGGCAGGCCAGTTACAGGTGCTGGAGGCATGTCAAGCATCCCCTCAAATCGCACTTCCTCTTGTCCCCCCTAACCAACTCTTCCTCACACTCCCACCCACCTTTTCCACGGCACCCAGGTGGGGCGCACCATGGTGTTTCTGCGTGCGGGGCAGCTGCGGGCGTGTCAAGCATCTCTCACTTTCTCCCCTCCCATACCCCTCCCACTATCGTCCCCAGGTGGGGCGCTCAATGGTGTTCCTGCGGGCAGGGCAGCTGCGGGCGCTGGAGGCGTGTCGAGCATCCTCTTGATCAACTTCTCCTCTCTCACCCACCCTCCTTCCGCCGTCCAGGTGGGGCGCTCAATGGTGTTCCTGCGTGCGGGGCAGCTGCAGGCACTGGAGGCGTGTCGGTCGCAGCGTGTGGACGCGGCAGCAGCGGCCATCCAGAGAACTGTGCGGCGCTACCTGTGGCGCAAGCACCGCCTGCATGCCACTGTTGTCATTCAGAGCGCCTGGCGAGGTGTGTGAGAGGCATGGGCAGTGAGGGATTGGAGAGGTGTGTGAGAGGCATGGGCAGTGAGGGATTGGAGAGGTGTGTGAGAGGCATGGGCAGTGAGGGATTGGAGAGGTGTGTGAGAGGCATGGGCAGTGAGGGATTGGAGAGGTGTGTGAGAGGCATGGGCAGTGAGGGATTGGAGAGGTGTGTGAGAGGCATGGGCAGTGAGGGATTGGAGAGGTGTGTGAGAGGCATGGGCAGTGAGGGATTGGAGAGGTGTGTGAGAGGCATGGGTCTATCTTTGAGGCGCCCCAAGAGTGGCGTGTGGGTGCGGCTGAAGCAGCGACCATCCAGAAGGCTGTGCGGCACTGGCTGTTGCGCAATCACAGCATGCACGCCACCCTTGTCGTTCAGAGCGCATGGCCAAGTGCGTCAGAGATGTATGGGACTATTTCTAAAACACCGATATGCAACGACGTGTGAGCAGCAGAGGCCATCCAGAGGGCTTGTGCGGCGCTACCTGTGGCGCAAGCACCGCCTGCACGCCACCATTGCCATTCAGAGCGCGTGGAGAGGTATGTGAGTAGCATACTAGCATGGGTCTAACTTTTTGAGGTGCCTCAGAAATGGCGAGTGGATGCAAAAGCAGCGGCCATCCAGAGGGCTGTGCGGCGCTACCTGTGGGGAGAGACAGCGGTGCAAATTCAGAACTGGGCGCCTCAAACCCCTCTCTTCCTGTGCGTTCTGCTCTCTCCCACACACAACCCCCCCACACACAACCCCTCTCCCCCCACCCCCTCCCCTCTCTAAGTTCCCCCAAGCTATCTCGCCTGGCGGTCGGTGCGAGTGCAGTGAGATCAGAAGGCAGCAGTGCTCATTCAGAGCTGGTGGCACCTTAAACTCCTCCTCCTTGCCCCTTCGTACCTCTCCCCTCCTTTCCCCCAGGCTACCTCACTCGGAGGATAATGAGAGTGCATAGAGAGCGCAGAGCAGCGGTGCGCATTCAGAGCTGGTGGCGCGGGCTGGTGGTGCGATGTGGCTTCCTGGAGCTGCGCCGCGTGGCCATCCTGCTGCAGCGCCGCCGCCGGGGGCAGATGGCGAGATATGCGGAGGAGTGGCAGCAGCAGCACTGGGCTGCTATCACCATTCAGGTCGGTTCACTCGCGGTGCATCTGAGTCTTTTGGGTCAACTCAAACGATGATGTAGGGTGCAGATGGCTTGATAACCGAGGAATGATTCCTTTCAACTCCACTTGTTCCTTTATAAGGTTGAGTCAAGGCAACAACGCCTGATGACGTGGTGACTGCTGGCTTGACTCGACACCCCCCTCGCTCCCTTGCCTTTCTTCCCTTCTGACTTTCCCCTTTCTCTCCAGGCGCACTGGAGGGGGTACTGCAGTCGCCGCCCCTGGCAACTGCTGCAGCAGCACCTGAGGATGAGAGTCGCCAGAATGAGGCTCAACCGCCTCAAACGGGTCAGTTTCTTAAGGAAAGGAGGCGTAAACTCTATCTTTGATCTACTTTTGCACGATTGTGCACTTGTGGTAACCTTGATAGGCTTACATGGTTACTTGTCGCACTTTGCGTGTTCTGATTCTGAGTGTCCCCCATGGTGGTGCTTTGGTCCCTCCCCCATGGTGGTGCCTTGGTCCCTCCCCCATGGTGGTGCCTTGGTCCCTCCCCCATGGTGGTGCCTTGGTCCCTCCCCCATGGTGGTGCCTTGATCCCTCCCCCATGGTGGTGCCTTGGTCCCTCCCCCATGGTGGTGCCTTGATCCCTCCCCCATGGTGGTGCCTTGGTCCCTCCCCCATGGTGGTGCCTTGGTCCCTCCCCCATGGTGGTGCCTTGGTCCCTCCCCCATGGTGGTGCCTTGGTCCCTCCCCCATGGTGGTGCCTTGATCCCTCCCCCATGGTGGTGCCTTGGTCCCTCCCCCATGGTGGTGCCTTGGTCCCTCCCCCATGGTGGTGCCTTGGTCCCTCCCCCATGGTGGTGCCTTGGTCCCTCCCCCATGGTGGTGCCTTGGTCCCTCCCCCATGGTGGTGCCTTGGTCCCTCCCCCATGGTGGTGCCTTGGTCCCTCCCCCATGGTGTCGCACTGTGCCTTGGTCCCTCCCCCATGGTGTCGCACTGTGCCTTGGTCTAGGGATGGGCATTTGACCCGGACGGGTCGGGTAACCCGACCTAGGGATGAGCAAATGGCGAACTCGAACACGTTTGGGTTCGAGTTCGCTCGAACATCATCTTTTCCCGAACCGAACACAGTTCGGTTCGGCGAACACTTTGAGCAAAAAATGGTGTTCGCCGTTCGCCTGTGAAGGCGTGTTCGGGCGAACCTCGAACAGTGTTCGTGTTCGTCACGGGCAAATTGCAGCGGCGGCCCGAACACGAACGTGTTCGGGCGAACATCGAACACTGTTCGGCGAACATTTTAAGCCAAAAAAAAATACCTGTTCGGTTCGCCTCGAACACGTTCGAGGCGAACCGAACAGGTGTTCGCCACCTTGCTCATCCCTAACCCGACCCGACCCGCCCTTTAGGGCGGGTCGGGTCAGGAATGCTGAGAAGGCCGACCCGCCCGGGTCGGGTCGGGAAAACCCGGACAGGTCGGGTCGACCCGTGACCCGTCACTGTGATTTAGTGACGGGTATTTGCGACCCGCCGGGTCAGGTTGACCCGTCCCGTCCGGGTCGCGTACCCAGTCAAATGACAGGGTTACCCGGCCCGTTTTCGGATTAGGGTAGGGGTTGAACATCGGTTGGTTTTTTAGGTTTTTTTTCCCTCGACATTCTGATCTAGTCGCTAGACTAGATCAAGGCTAGTACTTCTGCGCTGCAGCTAGGGAGCCTCATACAGTCTTCACTCTTCAATGTTAGCACTATTTAAACTGCATATTATCTTCAGGTTAGGGTTTGGCGCTCCCGCCATTTCGCAGCGTCGCACGACCAGGGGCGCAGCAGCGCGCGTGCGGCCACGCATTGGCGCGAGCGCGCTTTTAGCCAGGGCAGGAACGTAGTGACATGGCAGCGTCACCGCTTGAGCGCCCCTCGTGTTAGCGCCCTCATGGCTATCAAGTCATGGATGGCGCAGAACACGAGCAGCAGGTCATTGAACGTGGCAGGGGCTGCGCGTTCGCTTGTGGAGTTGTGCTATGAGGCCGAGGACGATGGGTTTTGAGTAATGTTTGCTGCGGGAGTGGTCGCTATAGGCCTTAGGCCATTTGCCATAACCCTTTTGGAGATACAGTAGATTTTATTTATTTCCATGCTTGATTGACATTCACTTCACAAACAGGGTTGTTGTTCTATTGACATACGCCATAGACATTTGTTTGAAGCGAAAAAACTACTGCATTTCATGTTTGGATGCCCTGGAATTCATGCACCTTGGGCTAACGTAAGGTACGTATAAACTTAAGAATATAGTTGTAACATGTAGTTTACAATGTAGCAATTTAGACCTAACCCCCATACCCTGCTGCTATGTAACATATTTTGATCCGACCCGACCCGACCCGTGGTGTAACCGACCCGGTAACGGGTCACAAATACCCGTTCCCACGGGGCGGGTCGGGTCACCAAAACAGAGTCAAACCCGACCCGCTAACCCGACCCGACCCGACCCGTTAAGCTAACGGGTCGCCCTCAACGGGACGGGTCGGGCCGGGTCGGGTCAAATGCCCATGCTTACCTTGGTCCCTCCCCCATGGTGTCGCACTTGTTGTAATTTCATATTTCATACAACATACATAGGCTAGAAGTGTAGCACATTTATAAATTGGGGGGTTGCTTAGTGTACCCTCCAACCACATTTTGTGGTTGGTTGGGATTGGTCCTTAGCTCAACCAATCCCAACCAACACACATTTGTGGTTGCTTGGGTCACAAGCAAGCTCACCCATTGGCCAACTTATTGGCCAATAGGGTAAGCTTCCCTCTCATCTCTCTCTTGCTCATTGTTTGTACTAAAGAGCCTCTTGGCTCATTATTCAATGTATCAATTCTAGCTTTCCAACAGCACTGTGCCTTGGTCCCTCCCCCATGGTGTCGCACTGTGCCTTGGTCCCTCCCCCATGGTGTCGCACTGTGCCTTGGTCCCTCCCCCATGGTGTCGCACTGTGCCTTGGTCCCTCCTCCTCACTTCTCCATGCTCGTTCACAGTGTTTATTTGTTTTGGTCGCTCCCATACCCCATCCCTCCCTTCCCTTACCTCATCTCTCTCTGTGATTGTTCTCTCTGTCCCACCCGCACGCACCACCGCAGGCAGCGCAGCAGCAGGCGGAGCTGGCCCCGCCGCGCAAGAAGTTGGACATGGCTGTTGATGCCATCCGCCTGGCCGTGCTGCGCGTCATGCGGGTGAGATGCATGCAGATTAGATGGGGTTGTTGAGATGGGGGTGAGATGCATGCAGATTAGATGGGGTTGAGATGCATGCAGATTAGATGGGGTTGTTGAGATGGGGGTGAGATGCATGCAGATTAGATGGGGTTGTTGAGATGGGGGTGAGATGCAAGCAGATTAGATGGGGTTGTTGAGATGGGGGTGAGATGCATGCAGATTAGATGGGGTTGTTGAGATGGGGGTGAGATGCATGCAGATTAGATGGGGTTGTTGAGATGGGGGTGAGATGCATGCAGATTAGATGGGGTTGTTGAGATGGGGGTGAGATGCATGCAGATTAGATGGGGTTGTTGAGATGGGGGTGAGATGCATGCAGATTAGATGGGGTTGTTGAGATGGGGGAGAGATGTGAGAGGCCTTGTCCGCCAGGGCAGGCTTCACTGCGACCTGGGAAAGACCCATGTGCTCTACAGGCTCAAACTGATGTTCTTAAAGCCCATCTCAGCTGATCAGCTGAACCTTGCCTGACCTGCTCGTGCATGTTACTCTAAACACCCACCCGCTCCACCGCACCACACCCCCTTGCATCCCGCTCCATCCCTTCTCAGGACAAGGCAGAGCGTGCGAGGGCAGCAGCAGAGGAGTCAGTATCCGCCCTGCAGAGGGAGCTGGAGGTTCGGTCCCGCCACGCCCATGCCCTCGACCGAGACCTCCGAGCCACCCGCTGCGACCTTGAGATCCGAACCTCCGAAGCTGAGGCTCGCATCGCCGAACTTGAGGCGGAGGCTCGGGAGGCAGACCGTCAGCGACGGGAGTGGGAAGCTCGGGTGAGCGAGCAGGAGGCGGTTGAGAGGGAGGTGAGGGAGAGGAGGAGGGAGGTGGAGCAGTGGAGGAGGGAGGCCGAGGGGAAGGATGCGGAGATTAGGAGACTGAGGGAGGAGTTGGAGGTAGTGAGGGGGAGGCTGCGGGAGGCTGAAGGGCAGGTGATGGGATTGAAGCAGGAGGTGATGGTTGTTGAAGGGCGGGTGGAGTTAATAAGGGAGGAGGCAGAAGGGGCTGAGAGGAGGGCGGAGGAGGAGAGAGCACGGGTGGAGGCAGCGGAAAGAAGGGCCGAGGAGCTGATGAGGCAAGTGCAGGAGATGAAGGCAGAGCTAGATGAATCCGTGGCTGCTCTTGCTGCTGCTGCCGCTGCCGCTGCCGCTGCTGCTGGTGGTCACGCCTCTGGTGATGCCTCTGCTGGTGCTTCTGCTGCTGTTGGCAGGCCTGGAACTGGGGTGATCCCAGGGCAGATGATGATCGAGTGGCACAGTGGGGACCCCAGCAGGGCAGAGCAGGCGGGGCGGGAGCGGCAGTGGGACGGGGAGAGGGAGGGGGCGGCGGTGTCGGGCTTGGCACCGCCGTCAGTGGTGTCAGGCGTGGAGGAGGCGTCGTCCTCAGTGGTGCTCATGCGGGGGGAGGAAGGGGACACTCTCACTGACATGATCAGCGAACGAACCCCAGATGGAGTCACCCCTGATGACGACGGATACACCTACACCTACCTCGTCTCCCCTCCTCCCCCACCTCCCCCTCCACCCCTTCCGCCGCATACCACTGCAGCAGCAGACAACCCTACCCCAGGAGGCCTCTCCCCGCCGCTCCCGGACTTCCCTGCGCCGCCTCCTCCAGCCTACCGCAGCCCGCCAGTGGGGATGATCGTGCCGCCGCGCTGCCACTCCGACCGCCTGCGCTCCTCCCCCTCCACCTCCAGCGTGGGCTCCCTAGACGAGGACTGGAGCCTTAGGGAGGGGATGCTGGGAGGTGCTAGGCCGTCAATGGCAATGCGCCTGGGAATGGGGGGAACGGGGCCACCAGGGGGGTTCCGGGGTGGGCCTGGGGGAGGTGCGACCTGGGGCGGGTTTTACGGCCGGGCAGGGAGTGCTGGAACGCCTTCGGTGGTGAGCTTCGGCGGGGGAAGTGGGGGAGGGTCGGGCGGAGCCGGAGCAGGAGGGAGTGGTTCGGCACCGAGCCTGCACCAGATGATAGCCTTGGCAGAGAAGGATCGGGACATGGCGGCGCGGCTGGGAGCAGAGGCGGACTGGCTGAGAGGGGCGTACAAGGAGACAAGGCAGGAGGCGAGTGTGGCGCGGGCGAGAGCAAGGCAGGCGGAAGCAAGGATGGAGGAGGTGAGGCGCGAGCTGCTGCAGTGGCAGGCTCTGGCGGCTGAGCTGCAGCAGCAGGTGCACTCGCTGCAACGACAACTCGACAGGTGCGCTGTTGAGGGCTGCTGAGGCCTGGGGCAGGTGCGGCGGGTAGGTTGGTGAATGGCAGATGGAAAGGTGGGCGCACTCACTGCTGCAACGCCAGCTCGACAGGTTTCGCTGCTGTGCTGGAGAAGGGGCAGGTGGACTAGGTGAGGTGGTAACGGGCGGATTGAGAGGTTGATGGTGCAGCTGGGTGCAGCTGGGTGCAATGCAAACGCAAGTGCTTGAACTGCAGCAGCAGGTGCTCTTGTTGCAACGCCAGCTCGACAGGGGCGCTGCTGAAGGACGGGGCAGGTGGACAGGTGGGTGCACTCGACAGGTGCGCAGTGCACGTGCATGAACATCCGCAGCAGGTGCACTCGCTGCAGCAACAACTTGACAGGTGCGCTGCTGATGGTCAGGTGGGCAGGTGGGCAGGCGGGCAGGTGGGCAGGTGGGCAGGTGGGCAGGTGGGCAGGCGGGCAGGTGGGCAGGCGGGCAGGTGGGCAGGTGGGCAGGCGGGCAGGTGGGCAGGCGGGCAGGTGGGCAGGCGGGCAGGTGGGCAGGCGGGCAGGTGGGCAGGTGGGCAGGCGGGCAGGTGGGCAGGCGGGCAGGTGGGCAGGCGAGCAGGTGGGCAGGCGGGCAGGTGGGCAGGCGGGCAGGTGGGCAGGTGGGCAGGTGGGCAGGCGGGCAGGCGGGTAGGCGGGCTGGGGCTGAAGAGGTGCGTTACAGGGCTATGTGTGGAAGGTGCTTCAGTTGTTGGTGAAACCAACTGTTTCCTTCTCTCCCCTGCCCCTCTGCCCCCCATCTTCTCCCCCTTCCGTCCCCGTGCAGCCTGCAGGCGGGGAAGAAGGAGCACATGGAGGGGCCAGGGGCAGGGACGAGGGGCATTGCGCAGGAGAGGGGGCGAGGCAGGGAGAGGGAGAGGAGTGGGCGGCCGGGCATTCTCACTCGCCGCCTGCTGCAGCAGCAGCCGCAGTATGGCGGTGGGGGTGGCAGTGGAATGGTGCCCTCGTCTCCTGTATCGCCCACGTCAGGAGCCATGTCTGCCTCTGCTCCCTCCTACTCCTCCCAGGTAAGCCATGGCCACACCATGCCATCTGCTCCCACTGTCATTTCGTTATCATTCCACTGTCGCTTCACCGGGATTCCACTGAATTCTCCCTCCCTCCCTCCCTCCCCTTTCCTCATCCACAGGTGCAGTACCTGCTGCGCTATGTGGTGCGACCGCTGGGATTCACCCCCTCGGGCCACTCAGGCCACCACTCCCATTCCTAATCGCCCCTCTCACTCGCTCCCTGCGTTCCCCGCCCCTCCACACCCACTCAGGTGCAGTACCTGCTGCGCTACGTGGTACGACCGCTTGGTTTCACCCCCTCGGGCCACTCAGTGCCTGCCTGCTTCCTCTTCACCATCCTCCGCTTCTGGCCGCACCTCTCCTTCCATGCCCCTCCTCCCTCTTCTACCACCACTGCCAACACCACCAACGCTTTCTCGACTGCACTACCAAGCAACCTCCCTAGCACACCCACAGCAGCAGCAGCGGCTGGTGCTTCAGCCGCCCCTCCCTTCCTCCCCCCCTCCACCCCTTTCTCCCCCTACTCCCCTTACTCCCCCTACTCCTCCGCCTCCTCCCTCCCCTTCGCCTCCCTCTCCCCCTTCTCCTCCCTCTCCCTCTCCGCATCCCCCATCCCACCACACGACGAGGTGCTATCAGCCATCCGCACGGCCCTGCAGCACTCAGCAGGGAGCCTGGAGCGCCTGGCGTATTGGATCTCCACGCTTGTTGCCCTGCACGCCCTGCTGCTGGGGGGGCTTAAGCCCGCCCGCTGGCAAGCCATGGCTGCTGCGGCGGCGGCAGCGGTGGCGGGGGGAGGGTTTGGGGGAGGTGAGATGGAGGCGGATTCGCAGCAGGCGAAGGGGCGGGCGGAGGAGGTGGTGGGTTCTTCTGCTGTTGCGTCTCCAACGCTCAAAGCTCCTTCATCTCCCAGTGAAGCTGCAGCAGCAGCAGCTTCTGCTGCTGATGGGTTCACAGCCGCCACTGGCGCCAGTCCCACTACTGCTACTGCTAGAATCCCTGCCAGGGCTACGTCTGCCGGGAGCGCTGTGGGGGCAACCAACCCAGCAGCATCAAGTAGCAGCAGCACGTCTGGCAGTCGCAGCAGCATCAAGGCTGCGGCCTCTTTCTTCAGTGGGCTCTTCTCCTCCCGCTCCTCCTCCTCCTCGCCCGCCCCTCCCTCTGCTGCTTCTGCTGCGCCTGCCGTGCCGCCTCCGTCCCGTCCACCCCCTCGCCCCACCCAGAACAACAACCGTCCGCAGCACTCCTATCCCCACCATGCTCCCGTACCTCACTCGCTCCATGTGGCCACAGCTTCTACTGCTGGACCTCCTTCCACCACTGCTAGTACCGCCCCCAATGCTTCTCTCAATGCCTCTTCTGGTGTTGCTACCATCACTCGTATCCCAGGAGCCCCACCGCCCTCCTCCTCCCTTCCCACCGCTTCCTCCTCTCCTGTGCCTGCCTCTGCCTGCGCTGTTCCGCGCGCCGGCACCACCAGCCTGGCGTGTGCTCCCACGGGGCAGGACGCTGACTCTGCAACAGCTGGACCCACTGGCTTGGTGAGGCCTGGCAGCGGTGGTAAGGGGTGGTAGGGGGTGGTAGGGGGTGGTAGTGTGTGCTTGGGAGTGGTAGCGTCCGTGCCTGCCTCTGCATGCTCTGTTCCTCATGCCGGCACCACCAGCCTGGCGTGTGCTCCGATGGGGCAGGACGCTGATTCTGCTGCACCCGGACCCACTGGCTTGGTGAGGCCCTGCCGCGGGAGGGCAAGGGGTGGTAGGGGGGTGGTACGGGGGGTGGTAGGGGGGTGGTAGGGGGGTGGTAGGGGGGTGGTATGGGGGTGGTATGGGGGTGGTAGGGGGGTGGTATGGGGGTGGTAGGGGTGGTAGAAGCTGGTAGGGGATGGTTGGGGGTAGTAGAGGTGGTGGTGGTTGGGGGTGGTGGTAGGGTCAGGAGATATGGAAAACGGTTGGGCCTGCTCGAGTGTAAGGTAGAACATCTCACATGTTTGTTGCAGCCTGTGGTTGGGGGTGGTGGTAGCTGCGCCTATGCTGTGCTGTGGGCGCACAAGGTGGGTGCGTGTGTGCCTTACCTCTCACTTCCTGCTCTCTCTGCTCTGCCCCATTGTGCTGCTCGCCCCTGCCTCTCCACATCTCACCGCGGCCAATTCGCCCTGCCAAAGGATTCCATGCTGCTGGCTCACAAGGTCGACCCCATGTGTGCAGCACCTCTCCCTCTCTTCTGATCCTTCCGCTCTTCCCCACTCTACTCTCGCCTCTTCCCTCCCTCCCACCAGCGGAGACCATGCCACTAGCACACAAGGTGGACGTGTGTGTGCACCATGCCGTGGGACTGGTAAGTCCTTCCCAGTGCTGAGTTGCCCACTCCTTACGCTCTTCTCCTTGTGCTTCATCCATCCCCCCCCAGTTCGCACTACCAGCGGAGACCATGCTACTAGCACACAAGGTGGACGCGTGTGTGCAGCATGCAGTGGGGCTATTCACGCACCACTGCACCTCGCAAGTCGCTGCCCTCCTGCAACCACCTGTCAGTGCTGCCAACCGCTTGCTTTCGCCTCTTCTGCTCTTACCTTCGGTTTTGCTTTACCTTTGCTTTCGCCTTTGCTTTAGAAACAGTTAAATTTTCCTCGCTTCTGCTTGGATTGGGTTTTTGCTTCGCTCTTGCTTTCTCTATTTCCTTCCTTTGTCACTGCTCTCGCTGTTGCTGCAAGGCATTATGTGAGAAGTGCGTGGCGTGGCTCCCGCCTTCAGTGCTCTTCCCTCGCCCCCATTCACCTGTTCTTGATGCAGCCACAATCACATGCAAACGAAGGGGGCAGAAGTCGCAGCAGCAGCATCTGGGAGACACAAAAGGGGGAGCACATTGCCCAAGCTCTCAATGTGATCTTGAAGAAGAAAGTGGAGTCGCGTGGTGATTTTCCCTCTCTCAACATTTCCTCTTCCGCACCCACCTGCTTGTTATGCAGCCACAGCAGCCGCAATCACAAGGAAATGAGGGGACGGCAGCAGAAACAACACCTGGAAGGCGGAGGAGCACGGGAGGCGCATTACCCAAGTTCCCGAGCGTGGCTCTGAAGGAGCACGTGGGCAGCACGTGGAGCACTGTGGTGGGGGTGCTGCGGCGGGCAGCACTAGTGCTGTTGGAGAACCAGGTGCCGCCACCCGTCATCCAGAGCGTGCTCAAGCACCTCCTCGCCTTCATCAACGTGCGCGTCTTCAACAGGTACAGTCGTGTTCAAGAGGTGCACAGCACGTGGTGCCCGTCACCTCTTCAACAGGTAAAGTCGTCTTCAACAGGTAAAGTCGTCTTCAACAGGTAAAGTCGTCTTCAACAGGTAAAGTCGTCTTCAACAGGTAAAGTCGTCTTCAACTGGTAAAGTCGTCTTCAACAGGTTAAGTCGTCTTCAACAGGTAAAGTCGTCTTCAACAGGTAAAGTCGTCTTCAACAGGTAAAGTCGTCTTCAATAGGTAAAGTCGTCTTCAACAGGTAAAGTCGTCTTAAACAGGTTAAGTCGTCTTCAACAGGTAAAGTCGTCTTCAACAAGTAAAGTCGTCTTCAACAGGTAAAGTCGTCTTCAACAGGTAAAGTCGTCTTCAACAGGTAAAGTCGTCTTCAACAGGTAAAGTCGTCTTCAACAGGTAAAGTCGTCTTCAACAGGTAAAGTCGTCTTCAACAGGTAAAGTCGTCTTCAACAGGTAAAGACGTCTTCAACAGGTAAAGTCGTCTTCAACAGGTAAAGTCGTCCTCAACAGGTAAAGTCGTCCTCAACAGGTAAAGTCGTCTTCAACAGGTAAAGTCGTCTTCAACACGTAAAGTCGTCTTCAACAGGTAAATTCGTCTTCAACAGGTAAAGTCGTCTTCAACAGGTCAAGTCGTCTTCAACAGGTAAAGTCGTCTTCAACAGGTAAAGTCGTCCTCAACAGGTAAAGTCGTCTTCAACAGGTAAAGTCGTCTTCAACAGGTAAAGTCGTCCTCAACAGGTAAAGTCGTCTTCAACAGGTAAAGTCGTCTCAACAGGTAAATTCGTCTTCAACAGGTAAATGTTAGAAGAGAGAGAATTGATACATTGAATAATGAGCCAAGAGGCTCTTTAGTACAAACAATGAGCAAGAGAGAGATGAGAGGGAAGCTTACCCTATTGGCCAATAAGTTGGCCAATGGGTGAGCTTGCTTGTGACCCAAGCAACCACAAATGTGTGTTGGTTGGGATTGGTTGAGCTAAGGACCAATCCCATCCAGGGATTGGTTGAGCTAAGGACCAATCCCAACCAACCACAAAATGTGGTTGGAGGGTACACTAAGCAACCCCCCCAATTTATAAATGTGCTACACTTCTAGCCTATGTATGTTGTATGAAATATGAAATTACAACACAACCCCCCAACATGCATAAGGCTAGAAGGCTAAAATCAAGAGGCGAGAGGCGACTTAGGAGGAGTGAGGCCAAGAAGACAAAGTAGGAAAGAGTGAGCGGCATGAGGAAGAGCTTTTGTGAAGATGTCGGCAAGGTTGGCCGCCGAGTCAACCTTGTCGAGGCGAAGGTGCCCCGCCTGAACAAGATCGCGAATGAAGAAATGACGGAGCTCAATGTGCTTGGAGCGCCCGTGAAACACAGCATCTTTGGTGAGGTGAATGGTACTAGCATTGTCACACCAAATTGTGGGACAACGCTGGGGGGCACCAAGTTCCTCAAGAAGGAAGGTGAGCCAGCGGCCCTCTTGCGTAGCCATGTTGGCGGCATACAATTCCGCCTCGCAGGAGGAGAGGGCTGCAGCCGAGGAGCGGGTGGAGCGCCAGCTGATAAGGCCGCTGCCAAGAGAGAAGCCATAGCCCTGGGAGGAGCGACGATCTGGCCGGGAATCAGCCCAGGAGGAGTCACTGTAGCCGCTGAGAAGAGGTGGGGAGGAGTACTAGGAGAGGAGTGAGCGGGGGAGACAGGAGAAGACAGAGGTTCCGGGTCAAAGATGTCACCAGAAGAGGGAGGGGCACCATGGGACTGGGACGGCGGAGAAGGGGGGGGTGGGAGGATGGGGGGAGGAGGGAGTAGTGGGGGAGGGGTGGTGTCAGACCAGACAAGGGGACGGGTGAGAGGGGGGAGTGGGTCAGTAGATGTGGGAGAGGAGTAGTAGGGAGTGGACTCGTCAAAGACCACATCCCGGCTGCGGATTAGACGACCGGATGGTGGGTGGAGGAAAAGGTAGTCAAGGGAGGAGGGATTATGACCAAGGAAGATGCAGGGAAGGGTACGAGGGGCAAGCTTTCCCATGGAACGGGAGCGGTCAGAGGGGTGAATGAGGACATGTGCCTTAGAGCCCCAGACACGAAGTGATGAGGCATCAGGCTTGTCCTTCGTCCACAGCTCAGTGGGGGAGATGGAGGGGAGAAGGGGGTGAGGGTAAAGGTTAGTAAGGAGGGCGGCATGAAGGAGGGCGTAGCCCCAAAGAGAAGGGGGGCAGGAGGCGTGGACAAGCAGACACCGGGCTGTTTTGGTGATCTCTCGAACACGACTCTCAGCCACGCCGCTCTGCTGTGGGGAGTGAGGGAGGGTGTAAGTCTGAAGGATGCCACGAGACTGACAATAGGAGGAGACTTGGTTGTTAAGGAACTCACCACCTCCATCAGAGTGAAGGCGGCGAACAGGGCGCCCAAAATGGGTGTTTGCCCGCTCGAGCCAGGCGATGATCGCAGCCGGGGCATCCGCCTTCGTCCGAAGGAGAGAGACGGACGAGTACCGACTGTGATCATCAACAAGCACGAGAAGGTAGCGATGGCCCTGGCGAGTGGGAGAGGGATTAGGGCCCCATAGGTCCATGTGAACAAGATCAAGTGGCTGCGTAGCAGCGGAGGGGGAGCTCCGGTGCGGCTGCTGCTTGAGCTTGCTCTGAACGCAGACGGTGCAGGGGGGGGCAGGGGATTTGGGGAGGGGAGGGAGGGAGGAGGGGAGACCGTGGAGGAGACCGGAGGAGACAGAGGAGCGCAGAGTAGCGAAGTTGGGGTGGCCTAGCTTGTGATGGAGGAGGATGGTGGGGTGGGAGAGGGAGCGACAGGAACAGTCAGAGTCAGGAGGGCGGGGGGGGAGGGGTGGGTTAGTGGGAGGGAGGGGAGGGAGGGGGGGAAGGAGGGGGGGGGAGGCAACTTGGAAGGTGAGGGGGCGGGGAACCCGAAGGGTGTACAGACGGGAGCGAGGACAATAGGGAATACGGGCGAGAAAACGACCTGTGGAGGTTTGGTATAGGTCACAATGGTTAGCACCACCTGGGATGAGTGTGGTGATCATGGCTTGTTGGAGGGACCTTTGGGAGAGGAGGTTAGTACGAAGGGAGGGAATGTGGAGACCGGTGACAGTACCTGAGGGAAAGAGAGGACAGGGAAGGGTGGAGGTGTTGTGACAAGGGATGGAAAAACTGCTATCAGCGCCGAGGAGGGAGGTTGGTGTGGGGAGAGGGCGTAGTGTACCAGCGTCGCGAAGGACAGTGTCAGTGGCTCCACTGTCCAGAACGAAGTCAATGGTGGAGGAAGGTGAGGCAAAGTACTGGAACGAAGTTTCATTAGCAGAAGAAGGGTACATGGGAGATGCAACAGATTGAGGTTGACCTATTAAACCAACAAAACCAGAGGAAGGGAAAGCGGTCACACTGCCACCTGCAGACGGCGCCGGGGACGCACCCGAGAGATGGGCTGCAGAGGCAGCACTCCCAGCAGACCAGGTAGGAAAGGGCTGCTGCTGGGAAACCGGAGGAGGAGGGAGGAGGGGCAGTTGCGGCTGGAGGTCGAGCTGCTGCTGGAGATGCTGGAGCTGCTGCTAGAGCTGAGAGAGGAGAAGTTGCTGCCCATACTGCTGTGACCCCTGCTGCTGATTCCCAAGCTGCTGCTGCTGTTGCTGTTGCTGGTGCTGCTGCTGGGGAGGGGCGAGGGCCTGGTGGGCGTGGGTGGAGGAGGGAGGTTCATAAAGGGGAGAGGAACGGACCTCAAGGGGAGTGGGGCGAGGGTTGAGGGCGGACCAGCGAGGAGGGGTGCCGGTGTTGCCACGGGCAAACCACTCATCACTGAGTGCCTTGAAGCACGTCTCAGTGGCATGGGTGGTTTGGCCGCAGCGCTGTCCCTGAGTGGGACCGTAGCGAGTTAGGTACTGACAGGGAGGAAAGGCAGCTGCCGTACCACGACCCGCACCACTGCTGCCAGCACCACCGCGACCTGCTGATCCCCCTCGTCCACCCCCACGCCCACCACCACGCCCACCCCCACGCCCACCGCCACGTCCACCCCGGCTGCTGCGCGACTGGGCTGCTGCGGCTGTGGAGGAAGAGTGGCGAAGGATCTCAGCTTCGGTGGTGATAATCCACTGAGCGACTTCGGCAGGGGTGTGGTGCTTGGAGATAAGCTGCATGTAAGCAAGCTTGTGAGCGTCGAAGGCAGGTGTGAGGCCCTCGAGGAGGTGGCAGCAGATGACGGTGTCCGGGTACACCACATCGAGTGTTGCAAGGCGCCGAGCAAGGTCTAAGACACGGCGAGTGAAAGCAGCTGCGCCAGAAGTGGAATCCATGGAGAGAGTTCCAAACTCCTTGATAAGGGCGTAAAGAGTGGCAACGTCCTGCCGATCGAAAGGTCGACTAGCAGTCGCCACAGGTGGGAGGAGGAGGTAGGTGAGAGCTCGAGTTTGAGGGAGGAGGGGATGGTGGCGAGAAGAATGGCAAGCGCACGCCGATCAGCAACCCGCCAGGCATTAATTTTCGTGGTGTAGTCTGCAAGTTCTGCAGTGTAGGTGTCCAGGTCCTCCTGGTACGTGTTGTAGCGGGCAGCGGCCTCGTCATAGATGCGCATGTCGTCCTCGTAACGCAATTGCAGGCGCAGGTGCTCTTGGAGATTGGTGCGGTAGGTGCGAATGGCGGTTTCCGAGCTCTGCGGGTCGTTGACATTCGGTGCGAAGGTGGGAGGATCACCGGGGGGAGAGGGCTCGGCGCCAGGGTGGGCGGGGGCAGGTCCAGTAGGAGCGGTGGGGGCCACGGGCTGAAGTCCACCGCCTTCCTGAAAGACAACCGAGCGAAGGTTGTAGCCGCTGACCACAACAGAGGAGAGGAGCACCTCAACGGAATGAGCATAAGAGTGTCAATTAGCAGCAGAGTTGTCAGGCAGCAACTCGAGTGCGTCAACAGTGGCAAGGTCGACGGAAGAATCGGACGACGATGCCATAGAGATGAGGGTGGGTAGAGGCTAGAGCAGGAGGAGGATGGTGCGAGGGTACCGTTGCCAATGCTGCTGCTGGCCCTGCTGCCCGTGCCGCTGCTGGTTCTGCAGCTGGTGCCGCTGCGGATGCTGCTGCGGGTAGGATGGGAGGAGGAAGGGAGGAGCGGAGGGTGGGGAAGGTGGAGGAGGAGGAGGGCGATGCTATGGGGGATGCAAGGAGGAAGGGTGCTGCTGGTGGTGCCGCTGCAGGTGCTGCTGCTGGTGCTGCTGCAGGTAGGATGGGAGGAGGAAGGGAGGAGCGGAGGGTGGGTTGGGTGGAGGAGGAGGAGGGCGATGCTATGGGGGAGGAAAGGGGGGAGGGTGCTGCTGGTGGTGCTGCTGCGGGTACAATGGGAGGAGGAAGGGAGAGAGGGGGGGGGAGGGGACGAAGAGGGCAGCCGTGCGGCAAATCCGCGCGACTGGGAAGCCCGTGGCGAATGCACGCGGGACAGCCCGCGGCAAACGAGCAGGACGTGCAGAGATGGGCGCGAAATGGTCAGATTTCAGCGCGGGAGATGCAGATCTGGTCGCGCGGAGGGCAGATCTGGTCGCGCGGAGGGCAGATCTGGTCGCGCGGAGGGCATATCTGGTCGCGCGGAGGGCAGATCTGGTCGCGCGGAGTGCAGATCTGGTTGCCGAAGTGCAGATCTGGGCGGAGGGCAGATCTGGGCGCGCGAAGTGCAGATGTGGTCGCGCGGAGTGCAGATCTGGTCGCGCGGAGGGCAGATCTGGTCGCGCGGAGTGCAGATCTGGTCACGCGGAGTGCAGATCTGGTCGCACGGAGTGCAGATCTGGTCGCGCGGAGGGCAGATCTGAGCGCGCGGAGGGCGGATCTGGGCGGGCGGAGTGCAGATCTGGGCGCGCGGAGTGCAGATCTGGGCGCGGGAGGACGAGATCTGGTGGCGCGGAATGATCAGATCTAGGCGCGGGAGGAGTAGATCTGGTCGCAGGGAGTGCAGATCTGGGCGCTGGAGTTGCAGATCTGAGCGCGGGGAGTGCAGATCTGGGCGCTGGAGTTGCAGATCTGGACGTGCCTTGGAGGGCAGCGCCTTAGGGGGCGCACGGGGAGGGAGGACAGCGCCTAAAGGGCGCGTGAAGGGAGGGCAGCTCCGTGGGTGGGGCTAGATCTGAGGAACGGGGAGGAGAGGGTGGCCTAAGGACCGAGGGAGGTAGGCGTGAGCCATTAGCTCATGATACCATGTTAGAAGAGAGAGAATTGATACATTGAATAATGAGCCAAGAGGCTCTTTAGTACAAACAATGAGCAAGAGAGAGATGAGAGGGAAGCTTACCCTATTGGCCAATAAGTTGGCCAATGGGTGAGCTTGCTTGTGACCCAAGCAACCACAAATGTGTGTTGGTTGGGATTGGTTGAGCTAAGGACCAATCCCAACCAACCACAAAATGTGGTTGGAGGGTACACTAAGCAACCCCCCAATTTATAAATGTGCTACACTTCTAGCCTATGTATGTTGTATGAAATATGAAATTACAACAGTAAAGTCGTCTTCAACAGGTAAAGTCGTCTTCAACAGGTAAAGTCGTCTTCAACAGGTAAAGTCGTCTTCAACAGGTAAAGTCGTCTTCAACAGGTAAAGTCGTCTTCAACAGGTAAAGTAGTCTTCAACAGGTAAAGTCGTCTTCAACAGGTAAAGTCGTCTTCAACAGGTAAAGTAGTCTTCAACAGGTAAAGTCGTCTTCAACAGGTAAAGTAGTCTTCAACAGGTAAAGTCGTCTTCAACAGGTGCACAGCACGTGGTGCCCGTGCACGCACAGCAACGGCAGCGATGACAAACATGTAAATGGCTTCTCCCAACCCTGTGATTTCCCGTCCCCCCTTTTCCTTTCCCCAGCCTCATGGTGCGCAGCGCAGCATGTGGTGCCCGTGCAGGCACAGCAACGGCAAGCTGCTGTGCGACGCCCTTGCCCTCCTCAACGTCTTCCTGGAGGAGCTCTTCGAGGTGCTCTGGGAGCCTCATGGTGCATGCTGTGCTGTGCTCTGCTGCACATGGTGCCGCTGCACGAATGACAACGGCAGCAATGGCAAGCCAAAGGCCCTCCCCAACCCTGTGTTCCCCCCTCCCCTCTCCCCCTTCACTCCCTTCCCCACCTCCCAGCCTCATGGTGCGCAGCACGTGGTGTCCCTGCACGCACAGCAACGGCAAGCTGCTGTGTGACGCGCTCTCTCTGCTCAACGTCTTTCTGGAGGAACTCCCCGAGGTGCTCTGGGAGCCGCTGCACGCCCACAGAGGGGCAGGGATGGATGGTGGGAAGGGGGATGATGGGAGAGAAGGGGAAGAGGAGGGAGGAGAGGAGGGGGGTGAGGGGGAGGGGAGTGAGGAGGAGGAGGAGGATGCGGGGCAGGCGAAGAAGGCTGTTTGGCGGCACTTGAGGCATCTGCAGCAAGCCGTGTCGCTGTTGGTGGGTGCAGTGTGGTGCTGGTGGGTGCATTGTGGTGCTGCTCGTTGCGGTGTGTATGCATGGTCATGCCCCCTGCCTCTAGTCCTCTCTGCTCTTTTCTGCTCCAAACTCTCCTCCTTCCCTCCACACACTCCCACCCCCTCGCTTGCCCAAGCCATGGAGCACAAGCTCTCGTGCTTGCTGCTGCACCTTCGTCCCCTGATCACTTGACAGAAACACCTGTTCTCTGCTCTTCCCTGCTTCTCACCCCTTCTTCACCCCTCCCATCCCCGCCTGACCCCCCAATCCCCCTTCTTTCCTTTCCCCCCCTCCCCCTTCCCCCCCAGGCCATGGAGCACAAGCCCTCGTGCTCACTAACACACCTGCGCGCGCTCTGCCCGGACCTGAACGCGAACCAGCTGGTGCATCTGTGCGTGTGGTACCAGGATGACTGCTACAGCACGCAGGGACTGCCCGCTGCTGTTGTCGACCAGCTGTGGGGGGAGGTGGACGAACGCACAGCCATGCTGCTGCAGGAGAGCCCCAGGTAGGCGGCGCCGAGCAGTGGTGGGGAGTGGAGTGTACTATGTATGTTCGTGCGGCGACTCTCCTTCTCCCACCACCCGTTGCTCCTCACACACCCGCACCTACACGCTCCCATCTCATATGCTCGCACCTCACATGCCCGCAGATCACCTGTGAGCATCGCGTACATGCAACCTCACCTTCATGCAACCTCACCCCCACATGCTCACGCCTCACATCCTCCCACTGCACATTCCCGTATCCCTCCCATGCACGTCGCCCGTGAACATAGCGGACAGCACGGAGTGGTTCCCCTTCATCCACCACACCCCCACAATGCCCCCTCCCCACATCCTCCCACTGCTCATCCCCACCACTCCCCGTATCCCTCCCATGCAGGTCGCCTGTGAGCATAGCGGACAGCACAGAGTGGTTCCCCTTCATCCACCACGACGCCGCCAACCCGCAGTTCCCCGCCTTCCTGCGCTCGCTGCTGCTCAAGCGTGCCGCCTCCTCCACACGCTCCTCCCTGCACACCCCCGCCAGCAGCACCGACAGCCACCTGCTGCCCCACAGCACCCCGCTTCTGGGCCCCCAGTTGCATGGCTTACAATCACATGGCGTACAGTCACACGGGATACAGGCACATGGGGTACAGTCACATGGCTTGCAACCACACTCTCGCGGGTTACATTCACCTGCGGTGCAGTCACATGGTGTACAATCACAAACCACCCCATCTACGGTGGTGCCCAAGTCCCCAGGAGCACAGTCTACTATGAGCGCACACTCCGACCTGCCTCTCTCCCACATGCCAGCCATGCAGGAAGAAACCTCCCCTGCTCCGCACCTCCCCCAGGCAGACCTGCCAGCTCACGCTGATGATGTGGAAGTTACGACTAGTGCTAACCACACAGACGCATATAACTCCAGTGTTTATCATGTGTCTGAACATGACGGGGCGGCTTATCAGTCTAGGGGGTTTGAAAGTGGAGCAGGGATTCAAGGTGGCAGGGGGAATCGAGCCAGTCTAACGGGTAATGTAACTGGGGGTGATGGTGACGGTGATGGTGATGGTATGGAAGGTACCAGCAACATGGGTGCTGCAGATAACACAGGCAGGGATGAGTCGCCACAGGCATCATCGAGTAACCAATGGGGATTCGCAGAGAGGTTGGCTCGCTTAAAACCAAACTAGTGTTTCTGGTTGGGCTTCTTATTGCAACACTGAGTTCGCAAAACCATTAAAACCAAACTTTTATTCAACATCACTTCAAGGTGTATTCCGGCCCTAAGGGCAGCTATACAGGGGAATGAAGCGAGCCATACACATGCAACTGCTGTTGCTCATTGCTAGCCATGGGTGCTGTTCTTCGAGTAGGTCCCACCCACCCATACCCACACAGAGAAGTACCGCTGCCACCCTTATTCGCTGAGCTCATTGTGCTGTGAGTTTGGCTGCACAAATCAGTTGCTAGTTACTGCAGTGCTATCCACTAATGCTGTCTGCTCCTTCTGCCTGCTGTCTCTTCCTGCTGCTTCTGCCTGTGTCTCTTCCTGCTGCTTCTGCCTGTGTCTCTTCCTGCTGCCACTGCTTGCTGCATCTGCCTGTGCCTCTCCCTGCTGCCTCTGCAGCAAGCAATCCCTCTGTGCGTCTGTGTGGGATGCTCCAGAAATCCCTCTGTGGTGGATGCAGCAGCGAGGGATCAAACGGTCGAATCGGTGGAAATCCAAGCCAGCCATGTGCGCCCCACCTCCATATCCCCGAGCCGTCTGCAGTGGGTCTCCGGCCTCTACACAACACCGTGCAGTGCTATGCAATTCAGTGCGGTGCCGTGCCGTGCAGTGCTCTACAGCGTGGTCCAGAGCGTCGTGGGCAGCAGCATGGCGTTGGATGGCGCGAGCAACAACAGCAGGGTGGGTGAGGTGGGGGAGGTGGCCGTGTGTGGGTAGCACCTCCATGCACGCCCCAGGTATCGCCTCCCTCAGGTACTCGCTCACTTGCATTGGCACGGCAGCATCACTCTTTGTGGATAGCACTGTCACGGGGCATGATACCTGGGGAGAGAAGAGAAGGGAAGGGCAACGACGAGTGGGAAAGAGTTAATACGATGCGGAAACGGTGTTGCATTGCACGTGGCATGGCACGGTGCATGAGAAAGGAAAGAGGGTGTTGGTAATTTGGAATGTGCAGTAAGCAGGAACGTGCAGTAAGCAGGCACGTGCGGTAAGCAGGAACGTGGCAAGACTCTTGAAGCAGAAACGTGAGAGTCAGACTACCCATCTTCCTTCCCTCCTCGGCTATTCATCCCTCGGCTATTCATCCCTCTCCCATCGCACCACCCACAAGCAACTCATCGGACCCAGCAGGTGCCTATAATCAGATTGGAAGGATGTTCAGAGGGCGCTGAGAGCAATATCCGGGCGCACTTGCAGCTCGCTCTCACACAACTGCCGCACCTCCCAACCCAGCTTGAGACGTCTCAACCACCTGTGCCAGCACGTGTCGGTAATCCGACTGGAAGGTCGTCCGGAGGGCGCTGAGGGCGATGTCAGGGCGCACCAGCAGCACGCTCTCAGTGAGCTGGCGCACCTCGGCGCTGCTGATGTCCCGCCCCACCATGAGCGGTGCAAACCCCGACGCCCACGCGATGTAGTTCTCGCGCACCGCCCGGAACAGCTGCTCCAGGTCTGCCGGGTCGAAGCCTCCCACGTACCCCGTGGACGGCTCGTTCAGGTACCTGGTGGTGGGGAGAAGGGGAGGAGGAGATAGGGAAAGGAAGTTGGGCATTTGAGTGAGTCGTGTAAAAAAAAACAGCTGCTGCAGGTCTGCCGGGTCGAACCCGCCCACGTACCCCATGGACGGCTCGTTGAGGTACCTGGCCAGGGGGGCGGAGAGGGGGAGTGTGCGCGATAAAGAACGTGCCAACGGCAAGAGCTGCTCCAGATTCGCGGGGTTGAAGCCGCCAACATAACCCGTGCATGTCTTGTTCAAGGTAACTGGTGGTGGGGAGAAGGGGGATGGATGGGATGGGTTGAAGCCGCCAACATAGCCCGTGGCGTGGATGGCTTGTTGAGGTAACTGGTGGTGGGGAGAAGGGGGATGGATGGGATGGGTGGGTTAATGCGTTTGAGATGTGCAGAATGGAAGTCAAGTCACAATGTACCACCGCGTGGACGGCTCATTGATGTACGTACCTGGTTGTGGGAAGGAGGGCAGCAATCAGAATGACTCGGAATGCAGAGCTGGTGCCTCACCTAGGCGAGCAACAACCCATGCAATTCTGTGGTTTCGAGCCGCCTGTGTAGCCTCACCTAGGCGAGGCGCCAAGCAGCAGCAGGCGCTTGAAGGCGCTGGGCTGCTCGAGACTTGCAAGCAGCGCCACCATGCCGCTCACGCTGTGCCCCACACACACCACGCCCTCCGCCTTCCCCTCCACTTCCCCCTCCGCTTCCCCCTCCGCTTCCCCCTCCGCTTCCCGCTCCGCCTTCCCATCCGCCTTAACCTTCGCCTTCCCATCCGCCTTCCCCTCCGCCTTCCCCTCCGCCTCCCCCTCCGCTTCCCCCTCCGCCTCCCCCTCCGCCTCCCCCGCCGCCTGGCCCCCCGCCTCCTCGCCTTTCCCCGCCTGGCCCCCCGCCTCCTCACCCTTCCCCGCCTGGCCCCCCGCCACCCCCAGCGCGTGGAGCACGTCGAGCAGGTCATCAGCGTGCGAGCAGAGAGATGCGTAGCGCTGGAAGTCGTACGACGCGGAGGGCGTGCTGAAGGCGCCCATCAGGTCCCACAGCACCACACGGAACGTGCGCCGCAGGTCCAGGTGCGACAGCACGCCGTCCCAGATCTGCGCGGTGATACGCGGGGTGGTGCGCGGAAAATGGGACGCCAATGTGGTGTTTTGAGGCGGCTTGTAAGGGGTACGAGGGAAGTAGTTGTAAAGGTAAGGGTCTGGCTGAGTGGAAGCATGCGGGAAAGCGGAAGCAGGGGGTACCTTTTGGTTGCTGCCGAATCCGTGCGACAGTAGTAGCGTCGTTTTGCCCGTCCCAATCACCCGCACGTTGTGGCGACGCAGCGGACAGTCGCACACCGCGTCGTCGGCCGTCGCCGGAGTCGCCAGCTTGGTCGTCGCCGGCGATGAGGTCACAGGAGGTCGTCCAAGTCGGGAACCGGAAGAGTAGCGAGAGGACGACGTTAACGTACTATCAGGTTTCAACTGCGAGTGAAACATTTTTTAGTCGACTCAAAAAGCGGAGGGGAGAGGACGACGAAAAGCTACGATCAGGTTTGAGCCGTGAGTGGAACGTCGACGTCGGCATGAATGTTCGCGGCAGTGAGCAGACTACTACTCGCAGCACATTATATGATATAGCCTGTTAGACAGACAGAGAAATTTCTCCAAGGCGCGAAAAGCTTCAGGCTGCGAGTTTTCTGCGGCACCACCTGAGGAATCCGCGAGAAAGTACCTGAAAGGATGATGGAGAATATGGTTGTAACCAGGGAATATGGGAAGCAAACTGGCCTACGAAGCCAGCCAGGGCAAATAGAGTGAAGTTGCTCCTTGACATGTGAAGCGAGTTGCTGGATATTGAATGAGGACGTGTCCCCTCTAGCGGATCGACCCTGCGTAGGTTCGGTATTGCTGCTACAAAGTACTGTAGCCTCTCAATCTACAATGTAACCATACTTCCGGTAGATATGAAAACCCTTTGAAGCCCAACGTAGTCAACGCAAAAGAATCTAGGTTTGGAAGGCAGGAACTCAGAGGTTCGGTTGGGTTGCAAAACTCTTTCTCTCACCACCATACATATGTTGCTCTACGGCATATTGGTACTTTAGGGGATGACATTGGTAACCATTAAGGCTCGGGAGGCAAGCTGTGGGCCTTGGGCTTAAAACTTGCTTCCACTATCTTGTCATATGCATGACGATCGATATGCCTAAGTGTCGATAGTGATCCGAATATTGGTGACGCGAAATCTGGGCTCACGCCATATGTGACAGACTCGGACGATCGACCGCGATCGTTGTCGCATAATCCAGTGAACGGTACTAGTGATAATCACAATGCTGAAGAGCCTTGGTGAATATATCTGTAGTGTTGGCGTCTGAGACCATAAAGACCAAGCGTGCCTAGCCACATTGTAGCACCCTCAGTAGGAAGTACCGAAGCTCTATATGTTTCAATATAACCTCCAATGAGGGATTTTTATGTTAGAATCTAGCAGCAAGAAAGATTGCATTGAGCAGCATGAGGAGTACAAGTAGGAACCCATGAAGTGTTGTACCCCATATGAGCTACCCCACTACAGCCTACACAGACTATAGCATACGAGCTTGATACACCCCCATAGGCAAAGTGGAGGAGAGCAAGAGGTCACAAGACCAGTCAAGAGAAGCAAAGCAAGCTCAGAGTGGATCACAACGTCACCACACAATCTGAGCACAAACAAAGGGCCACAAGGCCAGTCCACATGCAGAGATGTATATGCAAAAGCAACAGTACAGTGATCACTACCTAACAAGAGCAAGCAAGTAGGTATATAGTATAGATCACGGTACAGGCAGGGTCAAGAAGTAAGTAAGTGAGAAGACACAGGAACAAGGCCAAGTGCAGTACAGAAGCGCTGATGGTCACGAGGCGAAAGTGCCTTGGTGAACACATCAGCAGTGTTGGCCTGAGAGGCCACGTAAGCAAGGCGAAGCTGACCACGCTGCTGCAGCTCTCGAGCAAGGAAGTAGCGAAGAGCGATGTGCTTCGTTCTGTCTCCAGTCTCTACTCGCGACACAAGGCAAGAATTGCCTTGTTGTCCACGTACAGAACTGGAGGAGAACGAGGCGCCTCGCCCAGGTCGGTCAGCAGGTAGGTGAGCCAGCGTAGCTCCTGTGCAGCCATGGCCCCTGCGTAGATCTCAGCCTCACAACTAGAGCTGAGAACAGAAGACGAGCGGGTAGACCGCCAAGAAATAGAACCGGAGCCAAGGCTGAAGGTGTAACCCTGTGACGACCACTGCGTAGCCAAGTCGTCAACCCAAGAAGCGTCTACGTGACCAGAGAGAACAACTAGACCCCGTCCTCCAAGCACGAGCCACATGCCCGACGTACTGCACAGGTAGCGCATCACCCTCTTAGCTGCCTTCCAGTGCTCTGGTCAGTGTCTCCCAGGCGCAATGTAGCGTGCCAGGATGCTAAGAGGGTAAGTAAGGTCAGGACGAGTGCAGGTCATCAGGTACATGAGGCAGCCCACAAGCTCTGGATACGGGCCATTCGGCTCCACGGACTCATCCGAAGGCAGAGCTGAGAGCGAGTGACCGGTAGGCAGAGGAGTGGACTGTGGCGAGGAGTACTGGAAGTCGAAGCGCTAAAGGACCTGCTGCACCATGTGTGACTGAGTCAGGGTGATGGTGCGGCGTGCTCTATCCTGAGTGATCTGCAAGCCAAGATAGCTGCGCACTTCACCCAGATCTGTGCACGCGTGTCTCTCCTGCAGCTCTGACTTCACTAGAGTCAGTGCCTCAGTGTCAGCAGTGGCAAAAACGATGTCGTCGACGTACACGAAGATGTAGAACGGCGGTAGCGAAGTGTCGGTGCATAGAAACAGCGACGGGTCAGTAGTAGAACGAGCAAACCCAAGCGCCGTCAGTGTAGTCCTCGGTGTGTCGTGCCACTCACGGGGTGCCTGGCGGAGACCGTATACTGGCCGCCGGAGGCTCCACTGGGTACCTGGAGGAAACGACCCAGTGAAGCCAGGTGGGCGGTGCAGCCAGATCTCCTCGTGCAGGCTGCCCTGTAGGAAGGCTGTGCTGAAGTCAAGAGAGTGAAGCTCGTAGTCACGCTGAGCAGCGACGTGCAGTAGTACCCGAAGAGTGGTCATCTTCGGGGTGGGAGAGAAGGTCTGAAAGTAGTCAACTCCGTGTCACTGTCTGAAGCCTCGAGCCACGTAACGCGCCTTGAAGACAGGCGGAGAACCCGGCGGCCGCTTCACCCTGAAAATCGACATGCCACTGACTATGTTCGCCCCAGGTGGGGGAACCTCGTCAACGTAGGTGCCTGTGGACTTCCAGGAAGCCATCTCTGCGTCCATGGCTGCCTGCCACTGAGAGGAGTAGGGACCCTCAACCGCCTCTGCGTAAGAGCGCAGAGTCGGGATGTCTTGTGCATCCGGGTCTCCCTCAGGGGCAAGCAGCATGGACACGAGATGAGGTGAAGCAGCAGCCAAACACTGGAACTCCTCCTGCCTGTCCTCAAGGACATCCGTGCCAAGGGCACACTCACCCCCGACGGACAGAGGACAGATAGACCGAGACTCAGCAACAAGATTGGCAGCGTAGTCTAGACAACAGTGAGCAGCAAACAAGAGCAGACGCAGCAGCTGACTCAAAGGAAGGGTCAGTGACAACTGTGGCAAGGAGATGCGAGACAGTAGGACTAGTAGCACGAAGGGAGTCAGACTTCGGGTCAGCAAGGGCAGGAAGAGAGGACTCAGGAGGCGACGACAGAGAGACACGCTGCGGAGGAGTGGAAGAACGCAGAGTCATCCGGTGCGTGCCGGGGACAGGGGGAGGACGCTGACGCGAACCAGGACCACTAGTGCGAGCAGCACGGACAGGCGACGCAGGACGAGACGCAGGCTCACGACGCTTAGCAAGACCTCCGGTCGGACCAGTGTAAGGAGACGGAGAAGGCAGTGGAGAGGCAGTCTGTAGCTGTGACGACGACTGGACAAGCGGTGGACTAGCTAAGGAGGGGGCAGGACAAGGAGAAGACGGGGAACCAAGAACCTGCTCAAGGAGCGGAACGAAATACGGCCGCGGCCGCTCAGCACCCCCAGAACCAGCCGGAACGGCACCAGCACCCCCAGCGCCAGCTCCAGCTCCAGCAGCACCTCCAGCAGCTCTAGTACCTGCGGCAGCTCCAACTCCAGAAGCACCACCAGTAGCTCCAGCAGCTCCACCAGCACCTCCTGCGCCAGCACCCGCAGCAGTGCCAGAGCCTCCAGCGCCGGCGCCACCAGCGCCACCACCTCCAACAGCTCCAGAACCTACAGCGCCAGCACCCGTAGCAGCTCCAAAACCTCCAGCGCCGGCGCCACCAGCGCCAGCACCTCCATTAGCTGCTCCAAGAACTCCAGTAGAAACACCTCCAGTAGTAGAGTCACCAGCTCCAGCACCTCCCGCAGTAGGGCCCCCAGCTCCAGGAGCGCGACCATGATGGCTAACGTACCATTCACGCAGCTGCCGTGGAGAGAGAGGGAGAAGACAACGACGAGGGCAGTGGTGAGACACCAGCGGAGCGATTACGAAGACGACCGCTCCACGGAGACTGCTCACCAGACGCCTCAGCACCCCCAGGTGCAGGACCCCCAGACTCAGTACCCCCAGGCTCAGCACTCCCAGGCTCAGCACCTCCAGGCTCCGCACCCCCAGGCTCAGCACCCCCAGGCTCCGCACTCTCAGGCTCAGCACTCCCAGGCTCCGCACCCCCAGGCACCGCACTCTCAAGCTCAACACCCCCAGGCTGAGCACCCCCAGGCTCCGCACCCCTAGGCTCAGCACCCCCAGAAGCAGCACCCTGAGCAGAACCACCCTCAGCAGGACCTGAGTCACCAGTGACCTCAACCGGCACAGTCAAGGGAGGAGGGTCTACCTGAGACACACCTGAAGGAGCAGGACCGGGAGCGAGGAGGGGGTCTACCTGGGGAGAGCCTGGAGCGAGGAAGAGCGGCGGGGGGGGGAGAGGGGCAGTGCGGTAGGGGAAGAGACGGTAAAAGGGAACCGACTCGTCGAACGTGACATCCTGAGAGGGGAAGACACGGCGCGAGGTGGGGTGGTAAAACTACCAACCAGGCGCGTCAGGGACAAAGCCAAGGAAGACACAGGGAACAGCGCGAGCAGAGAGTTTGTCAGCAGTGGAATCGCGGACAAAGGCACGAGCACCCCAGACCCAAAAACGCGACGCATCGCCAACCTTCCCCGTCTACAGCAGTGTGGGCGAGGTCTCCGGCAAGGAGACACGGGGCCAGAGGTTGAGCTGATGCGCGGCGTACTGGACCGCAAACGGCCAAAGAAAATGGGGGGCAGCCGCATGGATCATGGAGGTACGAGCGACCTCCATGACTAAGCCAATGCGGCGCTCAGCAACCCCATTCTGCTGCGGAGAGGCCGGAAGCGTGAACGTCTGGCGGATGCCGTGCTCCTCACAGAAGGCTGCCAAGAGGTCAGAGGAAAACTC